CAGGGGACACAGGAAGGTCCTGGTCCCGAAGGAAGGGGAGGGAGAGACTGGGGAAGACCAGAGACAAGGACACGGGAAGCCATGCCCCGAAGACGGGGCAAGGAGGGGTGGCCTAGACGGTGGTGCCACAGAAGAGTCTCGTGAGACAGGAGGCGACACGAACAGGGGGCAGACTCAGGACCAGACCTGGACGCAGCAGCAAACACCTGACCCGACGCTGCTACCTGACCGGACGCGGGGACAGGAGGAGACTCAGTGGTCAGGGTGTAGAGGCTCGACCCCGGCCGACGCGAGAACGTGGCCAGGTGCCGGCCTGTGCGTGCGTCCGTGCAGTGGGTCACCCGCTGACTCGCAGGAGTGAACTGGTGAACCCCCGCATCCTGTAGGTCTGCACCACTCACCAAGTTCGTCGAGAACGAGGGGAGGTACAGGCCAGACAGGGTGCCCGAGGGGGCAGCCGGACACGGGAGGACAGTGGAGAAGTGAGCGAGGACAGGACCCCCAGAGGGGTCAGCCAGGGAGACAGCAACCGGCCGACCAAGCGGCGTGAGTGTGGTGCGGTCCCGAAAGAAGGAGCGAGAAGCCCCAGAGTCAAGTGTAAAGGTGAGGGAGGCCGAAGCCAACGTGGTACCTGAGAGCGCAGCCTCACCCGCACCTGAGGAAGCAGACTCACTAGCACCTAGAGCAGCAGCCGTACCTGTACCTGGAGCAGGAGACTCACTAGCACCCAGAGCAGCAGCCTCACCAGTAGCTAGAGCAGCAGGTCCTATACCTGGGTCAGGCGGGACGCACAGGTGACCGGCACGGTCAGCACTAGTAGGCAATGCATACATGGCAGTGAGAATAGCATCATAGTCAAGAGCATATATATCTACCCTCTGCCTAAGCAACTCCACCCAGTCGGGGAGCTCAGCCTCGTCGCCAAACACGGTACGCCAGGCGTCGCTCAGACGGGCGAAGCAGCGGGACGGTGTATGACTACGTGTCCCACAAGGCTGACCAGTCCGAGTACCAGTGCGAATCACGTAAGAGCAGCGAACAGCACTGAGAGACCCTCCACTCTGAGCGTACCACTCACGAAGCTGGCGAGGCGTGAGAGACACGCAAGAGGGTCGCGGGAGCTGCATCTGGCCGCCACCACGAGTAGAAGCAGCAGAAGTGGAAGTAGGAGTAGCGTCGCCACCCCTACAGCCCCAACCAGCGTACCACTCACGCAGCTGCTGGGGCGTGAGGGACTCACGCAGGCGTCGCTGGGGCTGCATCTGGCTCCGCAAGTAGAAGCAGGAGGAGGACTAGCAGCAGGAAGGCAGGCAGCCAGGCAAGCCAAAAGGCAGGCAGGCAGGCAAGCAGGCGACGTGAGCGTGCTAGCAGGGCAAGAGCTCACCAGTGGTGGGAAGAGTAGGCTCGGCGACTCAGCGGCTCGGCAGCTCGGCGGCTCGGCGGCTCGGGCGACTCGGGCGGCTCGGCGGCAAGGCGGCTCGGCAGCAACTGCAGCTCAGCAGCTCGGTGACTCGGCGGCTCGGCGGCAGGGCGGCTCGGCAGCAACTGCAGCTCAGCAGCCCAGCGACCCGGCGGCTCGGCGGCAGGGCGGCTCGGCTGCTGGGCGGCTCGGGTGCAGGGCGGCTCGGCGGTGGGGCGGCTCGGCTGCTGCAGGTGAGCGATGAAGGAGGAGGAGAAGCAGGGGAGGCCACACACCTGCCACCCCTCCGCAAGCGGCCCCCTCAGGTCGCCTCGACAGGCGACGGGAAAAGGGGGGGTGGGTGGTGGGGGCCGGTAGGTGCAGCGGCGGGGCCAGCAGGTGCAGTTGCGGGGCCGGTAGAAGGGGACGGCAGGAGCCGTCAGGAGGGGACGGCGGGGTCGTCAGGAAGGGACGGCGGGGCCGTCACGAAGGGACGGCGGGGCCGTCAGGAGGCGACCGGGCCGCGACGGGGGCAGGCGGCGGGGCCGCGTAAGGGCCTGGGCGGGGCCGCGACAGAGCCGTCCGCGGGGCCGCGTGAAAGCCGGGGCGGGGCCGCGTAGAAGCCGGGGCGGGGCCGCGCGAGAGCAGGCGGCGGGGCCGCGAAAGAGCCGGGGCGGGGCCGCGTGAGAGCAGGTGGCGGGGCCGCGTAAGGGCCTGGGCGGGGCCGCGACAAAGCCGTCGGCGGGGCCGCGTGAAAGCCGGGGCGGGGCCGCGTAGAAGCCGGGGCGGGGCCGCGCGAGAGCAGGCGGCGGGGCCGCGAAGGAGCCGGGGCGGGGCCGCGTGAGAGCAGGCGGCGGGGCCGCGTAAAGGCCGGGGCGGGGCCGCGACAGAGCCTGCTGCGGGGCCGCGTGAGAGCCGGCGACGGGGCCGCGTAAGGGACGGCGGCGGGGCCCCGTCAGAGAGGGCGGCGGGGCCGCGTCAGTGAAAGCGGCGGGGCCGCAGGGAAAATGACGACCCGAGGGGTCGCTAAAAAAAATCGCGCCTCGGGGGGCGCTTCGGTGGGCCCAAAAAAAACGGTCCGTAGAAGGACCCGCTCTATACCATGTGAGAATAAGCGAACAGGAATGAATGAACTAGCAGTGAAATGAGTACAAGTAGGAAACCCTAGAATTGTGTACCCCCTATAGGCTAACCCACTGTAGCCTACACAAGCAGAACATATATAATGTTTGACACGGCTTCGCGAACAGGACGAAACACATCGCCCTGCGATATTTCTTCGTGAAGGACGAGATCGAGAAGGGAAGGCTTGAGCTGTCATACTATCAAACGTCTGAGATGGCAGCTGACTACCTGACCAAGAAGCTCGGAAAGCAGAAGTTCGAATACTGTATGTTGCTGACTGGACAGAGCCACGTCAGCGACACTCCAGAAGCGAAGGGGAGTGTTGGAAACAATCGGTCTTAAACGCCTCTGTCGTGTCGAAATACTAAGACACAAAAGAAACGAAGTATAACGAATCACCGGCGAGTCAACCCTCGGAGGTTGAAAGTAACTATTGGAGGTTACGCGAAAGTCAAAGGTCAGCGACCTTTGACCTGACAAAGTACAGCGCGACAGCAAGGACAAACAACTAACTCGGTATTGAGCAGTTGCCCGAGTCGTCACTGTATCGAACCGCAATAGCAATAGTAAAACGGTTATTAACTGTATCTCTTCGTATTCCTTGTACTCTTATAAAAGCTTGTATCTCTTTGTTTTAATCAACTTACTTTGCCCTCACATACTAGCGCAAGGTGGTTCACAACTCTTTAATTAACGCTTCCGCTATTACATCAACTCTACCCAGAGTTCACCCCTGCAAAGATCCTAAGGGGTTTTTCAGCCCAACAGTATATGCGCAGCCGAAATTTCAGGGTTGTACACGCACTCTCGTAAGGGGGACCTCCTTAAGGGGGGGGGGGGGGGGGGGGGGGGTAGTGTAAGGAAAATCCATTTTCCTTACTTCGCATCCCTGCTCAACGCGTACATCACTGTAGCACCACAGTCAGCACCGTTTCCACTCGCAACCCTCGCATCGACAATCTGCCCGCCACCTTCGCACGTCGCACCCCGACCTCACGGCTCGGCGGGTAACCCGCGCTCCGGGCCTCCGCTTCGACACTTTTTCCCAACCTCAGTCCCAGGCCCCTCATTCTGACACCACAGTCCATTACCGTTACCACTGTAGTTTCGCTATATATTCTTCGCTCATGCCTTCGCTCATTGTACTCGTAACAATTACACATTCTCATTCATTTAGCGGCAAGTGCCCCTTGTGAATGTGCGAGGTCATTCTGTTGCTGTGTGCCAGCTCACACATCCCCCAGCCTCGGGGAAGTTGTTGGGAGTCAAATGCGGTGGCGTGGTTGGTGGAGATCCTGACGCATCAGATTTATCTCTGCCCTACTGGAAAAGAAATCCAACTGTACACCTGAAAGCCATACCTACACTACTGGTTCGAGTAAAGTGATTGCCTCGGGGATGGATGCAAAGCAACTCACATCCTCCCACCCTTGAGAACTCCGCTTGTGGTTAGGTGGTACGGCTCCATGCAAACCTATTCCGTTCAGTTCCGCCAGTCACCCCCGCCCGCTGCAACCTTTTTTCTCGCACGAGATTTTCGCAATTAGCGAGTTACAAGGACCTCGCAATCGCTCCCACAAGGGCGACGTGGCGAATATCGCGAGCATGCTTATTGTCAACTCATCATCATCATCACTTCATCATCCCTTCCCCTGCCTGCACCCTGCCTGCACCCGCCCTTTCCCCCTTCACCTCTTCGCATCTACCCAAACCATCCCCCGCCCCGATACTTGCCTTGCTACTCCTTCCCCCAACAACCAACCACACCCGTTTCTCCCAAACCAACCAACCAAGCCGCAACACCCAGCCAAACCAACCTCTCTTCTTTCAAATCTTCTGGGCTTCTGGAATCTCCGCCGCACTACACCCACCCTTTTTTTCTTCGTTCAATCGACTGATCAGGCAAAAGGGAAACTGAGATATGCCAGTTGTATATTCCTTGCGCCTGAGGTGGATGTCTCTCGAGGTTGCTGGTTAGGCTGGGTGGTGAGAGTAGTAGTACTGGCATTGTCGTGCGAACAGTAGTACGCAAGTATGCAGAATAACTTATAACTCGTTGTCGTAAGTCGTAGTAATTTATTGCTGTCGCACCGCTGACAGCTGCGGCGTGGTTTAGGTCAAAACTCGACGCCTCTCATTCTGTGCTCGTGTTACCTCCCGTGTATCTGCACTCTGCTTCTCTCACCTCCACCTTCCGATGTAGGTTTCATATCCTCTCCTACTGGAATCGCGCTAGGTGGATTACGAGCCAATCCGTCGCACCAGAAAGACGACGAGGAGCATGAAGCAGCTGAGTTTAGCAACGCGTGTGACTTTCCAGCAGCAATCGCTCCCACACGGATGCCACCTTCCCATTCACACTTTCATTGTCAATAACACTCGGCCATAGCCGCAATTCGTGGTCCTTATACGTCATCAGATAATCAAACAAAGCCCAAAAAAAGGGATCAAAACCAGCAACAAAAAGGCCATCGGAATGGTGGCGCGATGCCTGGAGGTGACAGTGGGATCGACGTCAGGGCTCAAGGACAGCAAGTCCACGACCAAGTCCGATCCCTACGCCGTGCTGCGCCTGGGCTCCGTGCAGCACCGCACGCACACGTCGTGCTCGCAAATCTCACGGCCCGTCTGGAACCATCGCTTCAGCTTCCTCCTTCCGGACGACGGCCAAGGGCCCATGGTAACTCTCCTCTCCTCCCTCGTCCCCCGCCACTCTTCTCTCCTCGTCTCTCCTGTCTTCTCCTCGTCTCTCCTGTCTTCTCCTCGTCTCTCCTGTCTTCTCCTCGTCTCTCCTGTCTTCTCCTCGTCTCTCCACTTCTCTCCGCTTCTCTCCTCCTCCGCTGCTCCTCTCCGCAGCTACATCGACTCCCGCAACCTTCCGTTCCTCCTCCCCTCCCCTCTTCTCCCATTCCCCCTTTCCCCTCCACAACAGCCCTTAACCTCCCACCCGCTCCCTCTCCCCACTCTTCTATTGTCCTTCCCAACGCCTCTGGTTCCCCGTCGCGTCCAGTTTTCCACTCTCCCTCCCTCATCCAATCCGCTTCTCCTTCTCTCACACATCTATGCTCTCCCCTTCTCCATTTTCCATTCCCACCTGCGCCATTCCCCCCACACCACCCCACGCCATCCCTCCCCCACCATCCCACGCCATCCCTTCCCCACCACCCCACGCCATCCTTCCCGCGCCATTCCCCCGGCGCCATCCCCTCCCCCTCCCCCCCTACCCCCCACCCCCCGTGTCCCCCCAGGATCTGCACGTGCAGTTCTGGGACAAGGCGGACGCGGGCGATCGCATACTGGGGTCGTGCAAGCTCAACCTGTCGCCGGTCTTCGCGGACGGGCATCTGGACGTCATGCAACCCGTGCACCGCCGCAACGGCAAGTTGCTCGGCCACGTGCGCCTGCACCTCTCGCTCCTCGTCGAGTCCTCCCCGCCCTCCCCGCCCCGCCCGCGGAGTAACTCGGCCTCCCGCTCCGCCGCTGGGGCCGCCGCGGAGCGGGAGGCGTCGGAAGCCGCCACCGTTTCCCCTTCTCCCGCGCGCCTGGGGCCTTCCGCTGCAGCTCTTGCGGGGCAAGGTTCCGCGGGTGGAGGGGGAGCGGGAAGGGGAGGGGGAGGGGGACGGGGAGGCTCTCCCGCAGCGTCGTCTATCCGCGCGTACTTGCCCGCGGGCTCCGCCGTCTCCCCTCTGCCCTTGCGCCTCAGGAGCCCCGACGCGGACCTCAACGACGGGCGCTTCTCTTCCCCCGCGCAGCCTGCGCGGGAGCATTCCGCGCTCTCTGGGATGTCTGGATCCGCCCTAGGGGGAGGCGGCGGTGGAGGGGGAGCGCTTTCCCGCTCCCCGTGCCCGTCCAGTCTCTCCGCGCCAGCTGCGCCTTTCCCCCTTTCCTCCCTGGCGGCATCGTCCCACCACCAGGCGCAGCAGCAACCGCGCCCGTCCTCCGCCTCCTCGTCAACTTCCGCCGCGCTTTCCGCAGCAATAGCCACCGCAGCTGCCTCCGCCGCGGCCGGAAACCCCCTGGACGCGAATACGCGGAAGCTCCTTGCGCGGCTACTGGGCTCGCGCCTAGGCTCCGCCGCCGGGGGGCTGTCCGGGGGACTTGCGGGGTTGGTAAGGGGAAGCGGAGCGGGGAATGGGATGGTGGAAGGATGCAGAAGCGCGGATGCCCTAGCAAGTGCATTTGAGAGCGGGGCCGGGGGGGGAGTGGCGCAGAGCGGACTGCTGGGTGCGCTTGACCTGCAGAGGCGCTCCAGTGGGGGCGGGAGGAGCGGTGTGGGCGGGGTTGGCGCAGGGGGGGGACACGCGCTTGGGGGAAGTGGGCGTGATGGCGGAAGCGCAAGCGTTGGCGCGAGTATCAGCGCGAGCGCGAGCGGAAGCGGGATCCCGCGGAGGGTGGTGGGCGGGGGAATAGACGCGGGTGTGCTTGCCGCGCTGCTAAAGGCGGGGGGGGTTTCCGCCCTTTCGGGTATAGCACAGCGGCAAAGCGTCAGCGGAAGCGCCAGTGGCGCAAGTGCGGGCGGAGGCACTTGGGGGGCACTCGCAGGTGCTGGGGGCGGGGGTGGGGGTGCGAGTGGTGCGGGTGCGGGGCGGGATGATTTGAGACGGCAGGGGAGTGAGAGTGGGGTAGCTGGTGGTGGGGTAAGAGACAGGGGGGGGATTGTGGCATTGTCCTCGGACGCATCACTTGGGGGAGAGGTGGGAGGCGGGGGCGGAGGCGGCGGGGGGGGCGGAGGGGGAGGGGGAGGCGGAGGCGGAGGAGGGAGGGGAGGAGGTACTGCAGCTGCTGTTGCCGCTGCGCTTCTTGCAAAGCTGAACAGCCCAGATGGAGTGGCTACAGCGAAGGAGCTTCTAGCGAGTAAAGACAGTGCTGGGATCCTGTTAATGCTTGTCAACAAGCTGAGGCAGCAGCAGCAACAGCAACAGCAGCAGGTTCAGCAGCAGGAGCAGCAGCAGCAGGTGCAGCAAGAGGAGAATCAGGAGGATACGCTACAGAAGCAACAGCTGCAGCTTTTGCAACAGCTGCTACGCCGGCAGCAGCAGCAGCAGCAACAGCGGCAGAAGCATCAGGAGCAGGAACAGAAGGAACAGCAGCAACGGCAGCAGCAGCAGCAGCAACAGCAGGAGAGGCAGCGTCAGCAGCAGCTACGTCAGTTGCAGCAGCTGTTGCTGCAGCAGCAGCAGCAGCAACAGCAGCAACAACAACAGCAGCAACAGAAACAGCAACAGGAGCAGCAACAGCAGCAGCAGAAGCAAGCAGCGAAGCAACAGCAGCAGCAGCTGCTGCTGCAGCTCCAACAACTTCTCCTACGCCAACAGCAGCAGCAGCAGCAGCAATCGCAATCGCAATCTCAGTCGCAGGATCCAACCCACCAACCCCAGGTGTCCGCGAGCAAGACAGGGCAGGAGGGGGACAAGGAGGAAGAAGACGAGGAAGGAGGAGAGGAGGAGGGAGGCGAGGAAGCGAGGCAGGTGCAGAAGCAGAAGCGGGAGCTGCTCAAAGCCCTGCTGGTGCGTGCAATGAAGGGGAACTGGGGTGGTGGTGGCGGTAGCAAGTCCCAAGGATCGGAAGAACCCCAGAGAAGCTCCGATTGGCCCCAGGCGAGCGGTCAGGTGAGCGGGGACGGACGGAACACCATGAGCAGAGCGAGCGGGGACGTAGGGCCTGCGGATTCCGCTGGGTGCTCTATCATGAGTGAGAGGCGCGCGGGCGCAGGAGCAGGGGGGTGGGCAGGCGGAGGGGGAAGGGGGGCGGGGATGGGGGGTCCGGGGGGAGTAGCAGGAGCAGGGGCTGCTTCTGGGGGGGCAGGGGTAGGGGTGGGGTGTGCAATGGGCGGAATGGGGGTTGGAGGCGATTGGCAGCGTGGGGCGGGTGGTGCAGGGAGCAAGGGTGCTGGTTTGCAGAGACGAGCGAGTCTAGACAGCTGTAGCACTGGCCGCGATATGGCCCATGCCGCTGCTGCCGCTGCCGCTGCTGCCGCTGCTGCTGGGGGTGGTACTGGTGCTGGTGCTGGGGCTGGTGGGCGCCTAGATGAGGAGGAGGAGGAGGAGGAGGAGATGGATGAAGGAGAGGCGGCCGCTGCGGCGGCAGCAGCAGCAGCAGTAGCCGCGGCTTCAGTGCGCGCGTGGCAGAGAGAAGGTGGCGTTTTAGGTGAAGCAGCAGCAGGAGCAGGAGCAGGCAGCAAGGGGGAATGTGGAGAAGGTGGGGTGGGAAGCGAGGTAGGAGCAGGCGTAGCAGAGATGGCAATGGGTCTGTTTGGGCCAAGGAACGGCGAGATGAGTGGTGATCTAGGTGTGCGATGCAATGGCAGCCTTGCAGCAGAAGCAGCAGCCGCTTTGTTTGATTCATCTCCAGCAGTTGCAGCAGCAGTAGCAGCAGGAGCCAGAACAGTTGCAGGGGTAGTGAAAGCGGGTGTGTTGGACAGAGGAGTGAAGATGGAGGCAGGAGAGTTTGGTGTGGGCGTAGGGCTGGAAGGGCGAGGGCAGGGCGAGCAGAGGGGTGTGGGAGAAGAGGAGGCGGAGGAGGAGGAGGATGAAGAGGACGAGGAGGAGAAGATTCTGAAGCTTGTGGTGGTTGGAGGGGATGAGGACGAGGCGGATGAGAGCATGCGAGACGAGCAACCGCAACAGGGCCAGCAGCAACCGAAACACAGACAGCAGCAACAGCCGCAGCAGCAGCAGCAGTCGCAGCAGCAGCAGCAGCGGGTAGGTGAGCCAAGCTCGAGTGCCGCAGAGTGCAGAGAAGCAGCGAAGGAGGGTGATGAAGAGGCACGTGTGGCAGCAGGGGGTTCGCCCATGGATGTGCAAGGGCGGGGCTGTGAGGGGAATGATGCTTCTACTGCTGCTGCTGGTGTTGCTGCTGCAGCAGCAGGAGAATGTGAGGGTAGGGAAGCAGGAGAAGAGCGGGCAGTGGGAGGAAGCAGCAGTCGAGCAGGAGGGGCAGGGAGAGTAGCAAGAGAGCACGGCGTGGGCGGGCACGGGCCAGGAGTAGGGGAAATAGCAGCAGCAGCACCAGCAGTACCAACAGAACGAGCAGGACCAGCAGAAACAGCAGAAACAGCAGAAGCAGCAGGTGCCTTAGAAGCAGTGGACAGGGGGGAGGACCTGTTGCCGCCCATGGAAGAGATGGCCATGGCTGCAGGTGATGAGGAGGACGATGCTGCTGCCGCTGCTACCGCTGCTGTTGCTAGTGTTGCTGTTGCGGGTGCAATGGCAGACAACACAACTCTAAGAGGTGGGGGCGGAGGAGGAGGGCAAGGAGGAGTGGGACGAGGCAGCTCACAGCAGCAGCAGCAGCAGCAGCGGCAGGCAGCAGATGCGTTCAAGCCCCTACGGCCCGGCACGAGCTCGCTGCTCTCGCGCTTCCCCCGCCCGCCGCCTCTGGACATGAAGGCAGTGGGGTTTGACTCGGAGCCCTCGCTCTTCTCGCCCTCCATTCTCACAGGCCCTGACGACCATGGGAGCCTGCCTGGCGGCCTCACTGGTTTTGGCTCCATAGGCATGGATGCGGGAGGGATTGGGAACAGCAGCGGCGCTGCGTGTGGGAACGGCGGGAGCAGCGGTGGTGGTTGTGGGTCCGGCATGGGTTCTTTTGGTGGAGGAGGGGCGCTGGTGGGGGGGAAAGCAGGAGGGGCAGGAGGAGTTGCTGGGAGCAGCAGCACAGGCAACTGCGGCGGCGGCGGTGGTGGTGGTGGCAGCAGTGGTGGCAGCGGTGGTGGCAGCGGCGCAGTATTCATTATGCCGTCGCCCCTAATGTCACCCACGCTGCTGTTCTCCCCACTCTTCCCAACGTCTGGTGCCGACACCATTTTCTCCCCTGCCACACCATTCTTTCACTCTTCCTTCGCCCCCACGCCTTCTGCCCGCCGTCACACTCGCAGCCTGGGTGCCATTCCTGAGGGGCTGGCGGAGGGTGGGGGTGTGGGGAGGGGGGAAAGGGAGAAAAGAGGAAATGGTGATGGTGGTGGGGATGGTGGTGATGATGGTGGTGATGCCGATGGTGCTGCGCTTTCGCCGATTGTTCGCGGAAGCAGGGAGGGTGAGGAGGTAGATTTTGTTCAGGAGCACGACAGGGAGGGGCACGATGGTGAGGAACACAATGGGGAGGGGATGGTAGGGAATATCCGCAGTGGGGGGTGTGGTGATGAAGGGCAGAGCAGTGGGGGTGATGCAAGGAACATTGCAGGTGCGAGAGAAGCAGATGGGTGTGGTGACAGGTGGCCACAGGGGGATGCAGCAGCAGCATCAGCAGCAGCAGCAGCAGCAGCAGGAGAAGAAGGAGGGACGAGTGGAGGAAATGGAGGAAGTGGTGATGCGAGGGAGTCTGCTGGTAACGGCTGCATGGTGGCAGGAGAAGCAGGAGAGGCAGAGGGTGGAGCAAGCGACAGGCATAACGGTGGCATGTGTGTTGGTGACCCTGACAGAGACCCTGGCACAGACCTTGACACAGACCCTGGAACAGACCATCCAATGGTAGGTGTTGGAGGGGATGGGGGTTGCATTGAGAGGAGGGAAGGAGGTATGGAAGCAGAGGTGCCATCCGTAACAGCAGAGGCATTCACACCTGCAGGACCAGCAGGAGGACCAGCAGATACAGCCTCAGATGCAGCACCTGCACTAGCACCATCATCCGCCCCAGAAGCAGCAGCACCAGCAGAAGCAGAAGCAGCAGCAGCAGCAGCAGGAGCTGAACCCGAAGCAGCATCAGCACAAGCAGCAGAAGAAACAACAGCAACTGCACCATGTGACACAGCAGCAGCAGCAGCAGCAGCAGCAGCAGCAGATGAGGAGGAGAGGCGGCAGCCATTATTGACGCCACCAGCAAAGAGGCCAATGGACCTACTGCCGTCAGAGCAGCACCTCAGGGACCTCCTGCCAGAGCTGCAGTCCCCGGCTGGTGGGGACAACCCCAAGCGCATCCGATGCTGATCGCAATCGCTTCTCTCTTTCTCTCTCCTGGCCTCTGCTTCTTCCAAGGTGGGACTCTTTGCTTTTTTTGGCGTGTTTGTGTGTGTGCTGATTGATGGCTGTTCTTGTAGACGGTCCCAGGTGATTGTTTTTCTGCAAGTCAGTGCTACAGTGCGAAATCTCATTGCTACCACTGCTCATGTTTCTTTTTCGGCCTCGTTTTCAACTGTTTCCCTGCAGTGGCATGTCAGGGAAGTGCTGCTGGGTGCCAGTCACAGTCAATGCTATGCCATCACCCAAGCTCCCCTCAAGAGTCAGTCCTCTTTCACACATCCCTCCACTCTCCACGCGGCCTTTGAGTTGCTGTCGTCCATCGAAGCACACATGCTGTGCGGAACTGTGGGCCTATGTGTGGCTATCTGCCTATGGCCCGTGCCGTGTGTGGCTGTCCGTGACAACGACATAATTGTTGCAGCTGTCAAATTCTCGTTCCTCGATAGTACAATTCGGTGTAAGCAGAGACACATCGGGGAGCACATCAGGAGCTGCGCATGGTACAGGCTGGCTATTTCAAGGCAGGCAGCAATGCCCGGCCTTGTCCCAAGACGTTTATTCTGCAATTTATTGTCCTTTCATATTGTAGAATATTTATGTTCCTGACCAGTTCAAACGCATGAGTGTTGTATATTATTGTTGCTGGTCACAACTTATGATGCGTCGGGGTAATCCGCAACCGCAAACCACTCAAAGTTGGTATTGGCGGAGACTGCGGCTTACGTGGCATGGACTATGGGTGCCATTTGAAGGCTGACTTGCTGAACCAATGGTGGCATGGGTTCGAGTGATATGGTGGAGTTTCATCTCACAAGGACGAACACCGCAAACCATCGCACTCGTCAACGCAAACTACACTTTCTCATCCAAACGGAAGCAACCCTAGCTACATATGAACTGTGCTGTCTTGTGTACCCAGAACATGAAACCACTGTATCGAACCGAGCCGTTCTTGCATGAGACAACCAAGTGAAACCGTTCATGTTCGTCCAGTCGCTTCGCTTGCACCTGTACGGCCCAACCTCCCCCATGACCATGCATGGCATGGCTCAAGGCCAATCGTACCGTACACTTCCTTGCAAGCCTCCACTTCGCTTCGGGGTGATCCTTCCTGACCAACAAGCCAAGCTCGGCAAAACAGTGGTCACGACCACAAACTATTACCAGTGCTTCGCGAAAGCCAATCTCATCTTCGTCATCGTCGCTAATAGAGGGCGATGGTACGAGTTATCGCGTAATCAAGTTCGCCTACTTCCTTGTGTTGCTTGTTTCCGAGGCAAAGCAATCCGATCCGAACCAATCAAACCCCAAGGAGAAGGCTGGCACCCCTGTCTGGCAAAATTTCTACCACCTAGCTCCTCGAATCTCAAATCTCCTTTCCCATTTCTGCTCAAAACATCATTCATCATCCATTGGCTTGTCATTTCTCCTCACTCTCACACATCCGAATTGGTGTGTGGTGATTTCTCATTTGTTGCCCAGCCCAGCCCTTCTCTCATCTGTGTGGAATTAGCTGGAGCTTTTTGTCAAGCCTAAGATCCCGGCGCCTTCTTCACTACATCGCGTTGCGCGCCTCCGCAGGCAGCGCGTGTCTGCGGCGCGGGCCGCCGTTACCGATGGACCCAGGCACCGATGGTGGGGAGGTTGGGAGGGACACCGCGGCGCTTGCACAGCCGCGAACGAGACCGGAGGGCGAGAGCAGGAGGCGCAAGCGGAGGAGATCTCCATCCCGCCGGGGGAGATCGCCCTCCGCTCGCCCTGCAACCGCTGCCGGTAACCGATCTACTGTTTCCGGCCGTTCTGCCGCTTCGCAGCGCAGACGACGGCTACGGTTGGACGGTCACGGTGCGAGAACCGGTGGGACGGTGGCGAGAGTGGGAGAGACCGCGCGGGAGCAAGGAAGCACGCGGAGAACGCGAAGGGCGGAGGATGCCAGTCGCCGGCGACGGAAGGCTAAGAAACGTAGCATGGCTGGCGGAAGGAGGAAACCCGCGGAGGCGGAGGGGGAGGCGGAAGCGGAGGCGGAAGGTGAGGCGGAGATCCGCGCGGGGGGAAGCGCCGGTGGTCTTGCGCGAACTGTTGGCGGATGCAAGAGGAAGCGGAAGGGGAAGGGAAGCAAATTGCGGAAGAGCACTGGCGAATCGTCCAGATGCGCTGCATCTGCGTCTGCGTCTGGCGGCGCCATGGCGGGCGATAACGCGGCTGCAGGCCCTGATGATGATGATGAGGAGGAGGATGTCGAGGAGGGAGAGGAATTAGAGGAGGGAGAGGAGGGAGAGGGTCAGCAGGAAGATGAGGAGGAAGAGGAGGTTTGTCTGACTGCGGAATCGGCGCGTAAGAAGCTTACTGACCGCGTGTGCTGCCCGATCTGCCTTGAGGCGCCGCACAACGCGGTGCTGCTGGTGTGCGCGTCGCTGGAGAAGGGCTGTCGCACGTTCGTGTGCGACACCAGTCACCGCCACTCCAACTGCTTCGACCACTTCCGCAAGTCGCAGCAAGCGGCGACTGCGGCGGCTGCTGTTTTTGCAGGCGCGCCTGCTGAAGCCAGAACCAGCGCCGCCGCCACTACCGCCGCCGCTGCCGCCGGTGCCGCTGGAGGAGTCGGCGGGGCTGGCGACGGCGCTGGCGCAAACGGTGGCGCAAGCAGCGGGATTGCTGCGGTAATGCGTGGGTCTGCGGTAGGTGGCACCGCAGCAACGGGCACTGGTGCAACCGCCACTGGTTCTGCGTCCGGCTCTGCTGAAGCGCTCTCCAACGCTGCAGGCAATTCTGAACCGTCGATACTCCCTGGGGAAGCGCGCGGAACGGCAGGCGAAGGTGGAGGCGGAGGAGGCGGAGGGAGAGTGGGGGAGAGAGGGGAAGTCGGAACGGGGGTGAGCGCGGGAGCTGGAGTCGGCAGTGGCGGCGGTGGCGGTGGCGGTGGCGGCGGTGGCGGTCGAAGCGAGGAAGCGGGGTGGCGGGTTCAAGTGACTGTAACGGTGGGTTCGTCCCCTCGCTCGTCGTCCCGCGAGCGGAGGCTACGAGCGGGAGTACCGGGCGGGCGGCGCAACTCCACGTCCTGGGGCATCTTCTCGTCCGCTCGCCGCCATTTTGCTAGGGGGGAAGCCGCCGGGGTAAGCCGCGGGGGCGGCGAGTTCAGCTTGAGCAGCAGCGACAGCGAGGAGGAGGGGGAGGAGCGAGAGGGTGAGGACGGCGCCACTTGGAGCAGCAGCAGCAGCGGCAGCGGTGGGAGCAGCGACGGGAGCAGCGACAGTATCGGGAGTATTTTGGGCCAGAATGGTATTGGCAGCAGCGACGGCAGCGCGAGCAGTAGCAGCAGCGACGGGGGATTAAGCAGCGGTAGCAGTAGCAGCAGCAGTGACGACGACGAGGGGAGTGAGGATGAAGGGACGACAGTCGCAGGCCATAGTGGCAGTGGCGCGCTTATCGTCATCAGCGACGACGACGATGACGACGACTACGATGGCGATGGCGACAGTCCCAGGCGTCGCACGGGAGTTAGGCGACTTACGTTGGCTGCCGGAAACGCTAGTGCAGGCGTTCCTGCTGCTGCCACCGCTGTGGGTGGTGTTGGTGTTGGTGATGGTGATGGTGTTGGTGTTGGTGATGGTGCTGTTGGTGCTGTCGGTGGTAGCGGAGGGGGTGGGGATGAGGGCGCTCGTGGTGTTAGTCGCAGCGACAGGCTGCACCGCCATCGCCGCCAACGACGGCGCCTGTGCCGCGCGGATCAGCGAGGGGCGGAAGCGGAAGGGGCGGCGGAGGGGAACGCGGCGACAGGGAAGGCGGAAGAGGCGGAAGAGGCGGAAGAGGCGGAAAAGGGGGGGGCGGAAGGGGCAGGGGGAGCGGGAGAGGAGGCGGTGGCGGGCGTGCGGGAAGTGAGGTTTAGTGCGGAAGACAAGGGCAAGCGGGTAGTTAGCGAGGGCTCTGCGGGTGGCAGGTCTAAGGGGTCGAAGCGGAGGGAAGAAGCGGCTCGGCGTCGCGTGGACGACGGCGGGCTTCGCGGCGTGAGCCGGCCGTTCCTTCGGGCCCTCGGACGGGGTCAGCTGCTGCTCCTGACGGCGGGCGAGACAGTCGAGAGCATGGGGGAGGGCGCTGGAGAAGGAAAAGGTGGGGATGAGGCGCAAGTTGAGGGGGCAGGGAAGGGAACGGCGAAGGAGGATATTGGCAAGGCGAGGAGGAGCGAGACGAGCGTGATCTGCAACCACACTCATCATACTCCGCTTAGTCCCTTGGCGCACGGGTCCCGCGACGCGAAGCAGGGTATGGCGGGGAAGGTGGGGAAGGCGGGGAGGAAGGCGGGGAAGGCGGGGAAGCGGAGCAGGAAGCGCTGCCACGGGGCGCATGACACGACAGCGTGTTTCACGGGCGGGGAGCTGCACGGGCTGTGCTTCTCGCGCGTGCCCGCCGCGGAGTCCGCGTCCCTGCGCTGCCCCATGTGCCGCTGCCCCGTGCTGGGGTGGTTCGTGCATAAGGACGTGCGCGCGCTGCTCAACGCCGTTCCGCGCGCGTGCGCGCATGAGAACTGCGCGTTCGCCGGCGCGTACCCCGCCCTCCGCGCGCACGCGCGCTCCGCGCACGCGCAGGCGCGCCCGCCCGCGGAGGCGGACCCGGCGCGCGTGCGCCAGTGGCGGAGGCTGCAGAGCCAGCAGGAGGTCGGGGACGTGGTGAGCAGCATCCGCGCCGCCATGCCAGGAGCTACTATAATAGGCGACTATGTGATAGGCGGCGATAGTGATGATGAGGACGATCTGCTGGGCGGGTTCGGCGGGTTGGGGGGTCTTGACGGGGGCCGCTTTGGCGCAGGGGGGTTGTATGGCGGAGGCAGGTTCTGGGGAGGCGCGGGCGGCAGGGGAGGCTTGGGAAGGCAGGGGTTGAGGGGGATGGGGGGAACGTTGGCGGGGTTCAATGCGGGGGGATTGGGGGACCCGTTCGGGGTGGGGGGACTGGGGGGAATGGAGGGGGGAGGGGCGATGGGGGCGGCTGGGAGGAGGGCTGCTGCTCGGCTGTTTGGGTTTGGGCGGGCGAGGGAGGGGCTAGGTGCGGGTGGGGTGGGGAGTGGTCGAACGGGGGAGAGGGGGGGGTTTGGGCGGTTGCGGTTTAGCAGTGATGGGGCGGGAGGGGGAGACGAGGGGGAGGAAGAGAGGCGGAATGCATTAGCAGAGGCCAGGGCGAGGGAGAGGAGGCGGAGGGCTCGGTTAGCGGGGAGGCGAGGCAGAGGAGGGGATGCTGGATGGGAGATAGACGGTGGCGGATGGGGAGAGGAGGTAGAGGAGGAGGATGGGGAGGAAGGGGAAGAGGGTGAGGGGGGGAGGGGGATTCGAGCAGCAGCAGCAGCAAGAGCAGCTGCAAGAGTGAGAGCTGCTGCGAGGGCTGCACTGGAGGAGGGGGAGGAGGAGGAAGGCGAAGCAGAGGAGGAACCAGACGAGGAAGAAGAGGAGGCGGAGGAGGAGGAGGAAGAGGAAGAGGAGGAGGAAGAGGAGGAGAACGAGGATATGGATTTCCCGGGGGACAACGGGTCCCTGTGGACAGCCATGCTGCTGCTGACTGCAGGCAGTGGCTCCTCTGTCTGGAACCCTCCCCTCTTCTCCTCCGCGCCCATCTTTGCCCGCAGGCGCCCTGCCCTTGCCGCTGCCGCTGCCGCTGCTGCTGCTGCTCCTGCTCCTCCCGCCCTGCCCGCCCACACCCGCCGCAGCCTCCTCAGCACCCTCCCTGCCCCGCGCAGGGGGGGCAGAGAGAGGGACGGGGAGAGGGAGCGGGACGGGGAGGAGGGGAGGGAGGCGAGGAGAGGGAGGGGAGAGGCGGGTGAGGAGGCTGCGAGTGGAGATGCTCTTGTGCGTGGTGGGAGGGAGAGGGAGAGAGGTGAGGGGGGCCGAGGGGAGGAGGGCCGAGGCGAAGAGAGAGCGGCAGGGGAGAGGGCGTTGGCCCGTACAATGGGGATCAGGCAGCGGTTGGAGGAGCTGGAGGCAAGGCTCATGCTCAGCAGTGCGGTTGTATCTGCAGCAGCTGCTGCTGGTGGCGCTGCTGGTGGCGCTGGTGGTGGCGCTGGTGGTGGTGCTGGTGGTGGTGCTGGCGGTGCAGCTGGTGGTGCTGCTGGTGCACGTGCTCTGGGTGGTGGTGGATCGCGAGTGCCCTTCCGCCGAGGCCTCACTGCCTCCTCACGATCAGCTCCAGCTGCTGCTGTTGCCGCGGGCGGTGGTGTTGGCGGTGGCGGTGCTACTGCTGCGACTGCTGCTGCTGCTGCTGCAGCTGGCACTGACGCAGCTGCTGGCACGGGTGCTGGTTCGGATGCTGCACAGGGTGCAGGCGAGGCACCAGTGCTTCCTTGGGACTATGTGGGGGGAAGGAGGGGAGTGCCAAACTGGTTGGCAGCACGCACCAACAGCAGCAGCAGCGGTGGTGGTGGCGGCGATGGTGGCGGCGGCGGCAGCGGCACTAGGCGTGGTAGGTGGGGGGACTTGCAGCCTGTTGAGAGGACAACTGGCAGTGGCCGTGCGGCTGCCATTGCTGCTTTTCCCGCTATTGCTGCAATCGGTGTCGCCGTTGGCAGTGATGCTGATGGCGCACCTGCTGCGTCTGCTGCCGATGGTGCTGATGCTGCTGGTAATACTGCACATGGCAATGGCAGCAGCAGCAGCGGTGGCAGCCGAGTGGGGCGTGCTCTGAACTTGGCATTGGAGCGAGCAAGGCGAGATAGGGAGAGGGTGGAGGAGGCTATGAGACAGGCTGAACGGGTCCGGTGGGGAGAGGCAGCAGGACTGGTGGGAGCGGGGCCAGGAGCAAGTGTGGGAGGCGGGGAAGGAGGAGGCGGAGTAGGAGTAGGAGGAGGAAGGAGAGGAAGGGTGGGGAGGCCTCAGCAGTTCCGAAGCATGCTGCTTGGTGGGGATCGTGGTGTGGCCGAAGGTGGGGTGGCGGCACGGCGAGGCGATGAGGAGGTGGTGGAGGTAGAGGAGGAGGAAGAGGAGGTTGAGGAGGTGAAGGATAGTGATGAGGAAGGAGGTGGTCGTAGCACCAATGCGAGTGGTGCTGCGGGCATTGCTGTGCCTGCTCTTCCTGCTGCTGCCGCTGCTACTATCGCAGCTGCTGCTGCTGCTGCTGCTGCTGGTGCTGGCTCTCCCATCGTTCCCAGCACGTCGCGTGTGCTCCGGTCTGCACCACGTGCTGCTGCCGCAGCTGCAGCCACTGGACCAGCCGCAGCCGCTGCATCTCCCCTGTCTGTCCCTGCACTGCCATCTCGTGCTCCCACGCGTGCAGTCAGAACGACAGGTTTGTCCTCTGCGCGTGCCATCACGCCCAACCCTCCCATCCTTGCCACTGCCACCAGGCTCAGGGTGCAAGGGGTCCCACCCAGGACTGTAAGCACCAGGGCCTCTGCTGCTGCGGTGGCGGCAACAGCGGCAGCGGCTGCGTCTGCGGGCAACACTGGCACAGGGCATGCTGGCAGTAGCAGTGGGTAAGGGTGGTTGGTGCTGCTGATGGTGCTGCTGATGGTGCTGCTGCTGCAGATGCTGCTTGCAATGGCAAGGTATTGGTGCTGCTGATGGTGCTGCTGCTGCAGATGTTGCTTGCAATGGCAAGGTATTGCATACAAGTACAATTTTCGTGCAGTCAAGACGTGGCTTGAGCCTCAGGCTTGTGCTAGAGGAGCTCATTTCGTCGCACATTCTCTTGTAGGAGAGGCACATTCACTACCAGCTGTGCTGTGTTGTTTCGTACCCTGTGATGTCTGACTCCAGTTGTGATTGTTGCGATCTTAGGCTGCAGTTGTCATGTTACTTCCAATTCTGTAGCACACTATCCCATTCGACCAATAGTGGATTTTCTAAATGCGAAACATGGTAGTGGTATCTACAATACAAAAACCTGTAATTGCTTTCAGTAACGTGTTGTTGTAAGTGCTCCAAGTGCGGACGCGCTGGAACCTTCTTGAATCGTTCGATTTGACGCTTGAAGTGAATTGTTCCCATCCATTCCGTCAATTTGAGGTGGATGTGTGTTTCTGGCGGCCCGTCGCCTTGGGATGGGATGTTTTGGGCGCAGCACCATCGGAACAATCAGTTGTCGCGTCTGTCGCTGGTGTACCTCGAGTCCACTTTTGAGGCTCGCTTCCCTGCTCTTGGGATTATCAGGGAAAGCCAGAATTGTTTCGAGGTTCGGGAAGCTTGGTTCAACACGTTTATTCACGGTCCAATGCGGTTGTCTTTTCCACCGTTTTGGACCGCTACGAAGAAGGACGAACCGTACAAACACAGCGTCAGATGAAGGATGACATTGCGGCATGAAGTTCCCCAGGACCTGCTTGGTAAGGCACGGAGTTCAAATTCGAGCTGTCAAATTCTTTTTGGCTAGTAGTCCTTCCACACAGACCACCTCGGTTTCAGTTTCACCAGGAAGCAACACAGAGCGAGGCATATCACGGAACTGCGACGTAGCAAATGTAGGAACAATATTTGTTTAAAGGTCGACTGTCAAACCGAAGTCAGTTGTTTTGTGACCGCAAAACAAACACCACTGATGAGGTTCTTAGAGTTCGCGCGACGCGGCAACAGCCACGAAACGCCTGGCTCCTCGTGACGTGGTTTGGATATGGGGGAGTTCGACGAGTACGATTATCTTGAGAAGACTGTGGAACGCGCAGCAGCAGGCGAGGACGCGTATGCCTCTCCGACGGGTCGCGACATGAACGGCGGTGGTTCTGTGCGACGGTCGACGGAGTTCGACGACGACGCTTATCAGCGACGTCGCACGGGGTCCAAGCGACGCTCCACGAGCTTTCATGACGATGGCGACGTCGGCTACGGCGACGACGACGGCGCGTATGGCGACGAGGAGAACGACGACGTCGGCGACGAGGAGGAGGCCGATCGCGTCAAGCGTGCGCGACGTTACGAGGAGCCAAGATCGCACAGTCGCGACAGAGACAGAAGCCACAGAAGCCGGGAGCTTGACCGCGAGAGGGATGGCGACCGCGACGTAGATCGGAATCGGGACCGTTACTATCGGAGCAGGGACAGCGAACGAGACCGCGATAACTACTACAGCAGCCGTGGAAGGGATCGCGACTGGAGACGAGACTATGACAGGGACCGACGCCGCGATCGTGACCGGGATTACTACGACCGACGGAGGTATATGTCTTTGCTGCGCAATAAGCATTTCTACCTCTCTGTTGCACTACTGGTGCGTTTTTTTGTCGCATACTGATTTACTGGTCTGTGCGGAGGCAGCTTCTGAAAGCAAATCGCGCGTCGTGTTTGTGACGCTTGACGTACTGACCAAGTTGCGACCGCCGTCTGTGCTGCTGCCTGTTGCTCTTTTGTCGTCGCCGTCCTTTCTCACCAGCTGATTTACCATTTCCGTTGTTGCCTTCTGCACCTTCTTCCGTTCTACACCCGTGCTCGCAGCTCACGTGAACGGCGGGAGAGGCGTGAGAAGGAGGCGGAGGTCGAGCCTGATCTGGAGAGAGACCTTCGCACCGTCTTCGCCTATCAGGTGCTCTGCCCATACTCCGCTTGCTTATCAGGTACCCCCAAGCCATGGTGTGTTCGCCACCCAGGTAACTAATACCTGTTTATTGCGGGGTTGCGCGCAAGCCATTTGAAGCTTTACAGAGTTGTCAGTGGGATAAGCACCTGTAACCGCCTTTCCCGTTCATCTCCTCGCATTCTTCGCCAACGATATGTCATCGCTCATTCATGCCCGCAGATCAACCTCAAGGCGGACGAGCGCGACGTGTACGAGTTCTTCTCGCAGGCGGGCAAGGTGCGCGACGTGCGCCTCATCATGGACCGTTACTCGCGCCGCTCCAAGGGCGTGGGATACATCGAGTTCTACGACCCCATGGCCGTGCCCATGGCGCTCGCGCTCTCCGGCCAGATGCTGCTGGGCACGCCAGTCATGGTGAAGCCGTCCGAGGCGGAGAAGAACCTCGCTGCGGCGCAGAGCGCGGCGAGCGCCGCTGCCGCTGGGGGAGCGGGGCTGCTGGCGACCGGGTCGAAGCGGCTGCATGTGGGGAACCTGCACGTGAACATGAACGAGGGGCAGCTGCGGCAGGTGAGCGCGGCAAGGATGGAAAAACCGGGAGGGAGAGTTGGGGGGTTGTCGAGACAGGGTGGGAATGACGGGGAATAGAACCAACAGTGGTTATAACGATGGGAATTACAGAAGGGAACGGAGACTTTCCTCCCTTCCTGCTCCCTTCTCTTCGCACACACAGTTTTGCATATAGCCGGTTTTTGTATGTCTTACCTACCTTCCCCGCTTCCTTCCCCTTTGCTGGACTGCATGCATCCCCTGTCCACAGGTGTTTGAGCCGTTTGGAGAGCTGGAGGTGGTCGAGGTGCCCATGGAGCCAGGCTCGGCCCAGTGCAAGGGATTCGGCTTCGTGCAGGTGGGGGGCTTGTTAGGGGCAGAGGTTCTGGCAAGGATGGACGTGGATTGACTGGGAATGGGATGCGGTTGGTGGGAAGGAGGCTGACGTTGCAAATACGAGATTCAAATGTTCCACGGATTTTTTGTGGCGCTTACCCATGTCAACTCAACTCGCATCGTTCTGTTATGCGTGTGTTTGCGCTCTGTGCAGTACGCACGCCTGGAGGATGCGCGCATGGCACACCAGAACTTGGAAGGGCTTGAGCTCGCAGGCCTTGCAATCAAGGTGCGCCTGGCTCCCCCTCACGTGAACGTGGTGTGCTATTATGTTAGCTGTGCTGATAGTGGAGCGTGTGGGTTCAACCCCTCGTCCCAACCTTGTTTGTCCCTTCCCAAGAAAGAAGGTACACGTGGCACGCCCTGGGCGTGGGCGTTACAGCCTTAAGAAGTTTTCTTTTCTCCATTAACCTATCCCGGCCCTGCGTGCCCCACGTGTGCCCTGCAGATCACGCCTGTGCCAGAGGTGATGGACCCAGAGGCGCCAGGGGAGCTCATCGACGAACGAGGCGGTCTGGTGAGTGTGGCGTGTGGCCTTGGTGCAGGAAGAACATTGGCATGTGCCTTGCACTCAGTCAGTTTCACTGGTCTTTATTAGTATATGATCCTCCTCCCCGTACTCAACTGTTCGTAGCTCCCAGCTGCCCATGCCGTTTTTTTATTGTGCTGTCTCAATCTCACACAACTTTCTGGACTTGTCTTGATGTGCTCTCCTGCCTTCACAGGCACTTGACGCACAGACCAGGGCAGCTCTCATGCTCAAGCTGGACCGCACAGGGACCAGGTAGTTTTCCTACTCCGTTCTCTCAATTCCATTTCACACTTTCACAGCACTCAATTGAACCTCGTTTTTAATGGAGCACCTCATGGGCTCTCTTGTTTCATGATCTCTCTTCTTTCTCCTTGAATACTAACCTGCAAGTCTGTGCTTTTAACCTTTCGTGCAGTGCTGCTGCCGCTGCAGCAGCGATGCCTGGAGCAGGCGTTCTTGCGGCCAACCCTCTCGCAACAATGGCCCTGCGCCCTGGCATGCTGCCGACAGTGCCAGTCGCTGCTGCTGCAGCACCAGCAGCACCAGCAGTGGAGATTGGAACGCCCAGCGAGTTTATCCTGTTGACTAACATGTTTGACTCTTCAGAGAAGGTGCGCCATAAACTGGATACTAGCTCGTTACATTTGCGTCTGGTTGCTTCTTGTTTTCTTCCCGTCTTCAGTCCCCCCCTACAAGGAGCCCCCGCCTTTTTTGCGCATTACCACTAGAAACAGAGCAGGGGACAATGTTTTCTGGGTGCTCTTGTTTCAAACAATATTCTTGTTCTCACTCTTCAGTCTGTTGCCAATCACATCCCCTCCCCTCCCCTCGATCCCATTCAGTCTCGCCTTCCTCCGTGCAGGTGGATGGTGAGTTTGAGCAGGACTTGCAGGACGACATCTTTGAAGAGTGCTCCAATTTGGAGGCGGCTCAAAAGTCACCTGCCCCCGGCCCAATCCCATTGCTTTGCTTCCCGCTACCCTCCTGTGCTGTGCAGGTGGACGATGAGTTTGAGCAGGACGTGCAGGACGACGTGTTTGAAGAGTGCTCCAAGTTTGGCACGGTCAAGAAAGTCAAAGTCGACAGGTGAGGCCTACTTACCCCGCGGCACTACCCGTGTAAATTAAAGTATGGGAGCAGGCTCTGTATGTGCTGGTGAGTTGTCTTGTCGTGGCGTGCGTGGCTCCACTCTACTGTGACGTTTCTGTCACGAGAAATATGCACAGGGGTGAGGAGGGTGGGGGTACCGAATGGGAGGTGCAAATCATTGTGAAATGTATAGCCATCTTCCATGCTATGCATTGTTTGGTTGGCTTTTAGGGGGGCTCTCATGAAGCACATGTACTTATTGGTATCTACAGAATGGATGTCAGTTCAAGGCGTGCAAAATACAAGCAGGTGACACTGTAGCACCAGTTTGCCCAAATTGTTGCTGCTTCACCGTTCAACCTTACTCTGTACTTGACATGCACCTTATTCTCCTATTTGTTTTCGTAATTTTAGTAAATCCGTTTTTTTCCTGAGGCTGCTGCAGATGGCTGGTTCTTGTAGAACTATAGGATAAGCCTATGTGCACAGCTGGTTCGAAGGCACGCTAAGGCAAAGTGTTATTTCTGGTGCGTGCCATAAGCAGCATTTCACTTCTTCTTGCCTACCTTCGAGAAGTTTGCATGGCTTATGCTCTGTTCTGTGTGCCATCTGTGGTGCATGCAGAGGCGCCTCGCATACCAAGAAAACAGCTGGTATTAATCGATTGAGATAGCCTTTTTGCTGATAGAAAGGGCCCTTTTCCTTGGCCTCTTTGGCTTTCTAAGCCCCTTACTTATCCTGCACCCCCTTGTACGCTCTCAGGGATGTCGTCTTTTTACTGCCCTTCCATTTTACAATCCCCCTTCCCTGCTTTTATACTGCTGTGCTATTGTGTGATTTCCCACAGGGTTAGTGAGGGTCATGTGTATGTGCAATTTGAGACGGTGGCAGCAGCATCGGCAGCGCGCACAGCACTGCACAACCGGTATTTTGGTGGCAAACCCATCTGTGCCACTTTTCTGGTGCGTGCATCGATATACTTCTCGCTTCTTGAATTGTCTGGCTTCTTGGCTTGCTGTCCCAGCTTGTCTGCAATTTCCTTCGGCTTACATGGTCCGTCCTTCCTTTCTTTCCTCGTGCCGTGTATGTTTGCTGGTAAATATTCCGTGGGAGGGTGTTAATTGTTTAATGTGGTAATGACTTGTGTCTGCAGGAACCTTCCAACGCAAAGATTGCTGTCAACGGCCAAATAGTCCGTTCAACTAATTCACCAGTGATTCAGATATAGCTTACCAGAGTTCATACTGGTATTTGGTCAGTGATAACTTCAATTTTATCATGGATAGATTCATTCTAAACGGAGTCTCTTACATGTGTCTTAACTTCCATTTGTTTAATGTTTGTCATTTTTCATTATCCATCTGGACATATGAAGTTGCATGGAGCCTCCCTTTGTTAGGATGGTTTCCTTGACCACGGTTGATACACTGCAAAGCCAAATGGTGGTGTTTAAAGCAAATGGTGGTGTTCAATTCCATTATTTTCATGTTTTCCTTGTTATGTAGCAGATTCCTTGAATGCTTTGTTACGTACGAAGCTCGCAATGTTTTTCTATGCAAGACGACCACTCTAAAAAGAGTTTCTTCCAAGTCAACGGGCTTGATAGGTACTACTGACCACGCAGGTCAAGTCATGCACACAAGCAGGAAAGGACGTGTCCCAGAATTATGTGTTTGCAGACTCCTAAACCATTCTGAAATTCTAAACGACCGCTCTAGATCGTATCAAGAACCATTGAGCCGCATTCGGCAAGTAATATCGCCATACCCACCTCGCAGGGGGATGGTGGCCAGAGCCATTCTGTACCAAAACCCCGTTTCTTCTTCCAATCGTATCCATCGAGTGCCGTGTTTTGAACCGTAGGATGATCTCTGAATTCTGCCTGAACTGACATTCACGACACATCACGACAGTATTTGTACGCTAGAACTATGCATGACTTACTGTAACCCTGGCCGCTAAACTCAGTCATAATTCCTGGTTGGCCTGACAGGGGTGTGTGCTCCTGCACGCGGGACTCGCGGACTCACTTCCGTCGTACACTCACTCGCTACTAGCGCCCAAGTGCACCCGCTGCACGCCAAGCAACGATATCAGTACCTGCCGAAAATAGCGGATTTATTACGATTTCTTTTGGCGTGATATCGCCGGACCGCCGCGTCCGCCGGCGCCGACCATGGCGCATCAGCCGCGGATGGTTCCGCTCAGCCATTTCCGTCTTCTCTCCGCCATTGTTGCCGCACTGGTTCTGTCAACCGCACGTGTGCGCTCCCCGCCACTAGCGCGCGCGCAGCTCTGGGCCAAGTCGCAGCGTGAGTTATTCATGAGACGCTTCGGTCGTCGCCGCCTGGTTCTTTCATTCGTATGCTTGTCCTCCCCGCCACAAAGCGCGCGTGCAGACCTGGACCAACTAGTAGAGGGTGCTTTTTGAGTCGACTCAGATGTCACCGCTGGTTCTGGCACCCGCATGTGCGCCGCCACATCTACTATAACACCTCGCTACCCACTGGGTCAAAACGAGGGTGTTATTTGGTGCAGCGGAATGCCCTTAACACTAGCCCACAAGCGTTACATCTACTAATTGCGTGCGCGCAGTTCAGAGTGAAGTAGCAGCGTGAGTGCGTCGGGCCGTCTTCCTCGTGTGCTCTTTTGCTAGTCATCGTGTTAGACCTGTCATCACCCTCGTTTTGTCCCAGTGGGTAGCCAAGTGTTTCAATGAGCTGGTCCTCATTTTCCGCTAATGGCGAGAATTAGAATGTGGTTACCCGACTTGAACCCAGCTAACTATCCGCTGCCGGCCCGAGCCATCAGCGGAGTCGCTGCTCCATAGCGATATCTAGGTCCCAGGGGGGGGCGACTCCTTTCTGAGCCAACTGTGACGTTGACACCAGGCCGGACGAGTGTAACGCGTGTGGGCTGTGTTAAGGGCATTCCGCTACAAATACAGAACACTTTCGTTTTGACCCAGTGGATAGCGAGGCGTTATGGCTGGGGTAGCCTCACAGCTTACACGTGCTTTCTAGGTTGTTGCTACTAATGTTGTGTGGCATCATGGAATGCAATGAACCATATTCCCGGCCTCCTCAGCGGATGTCGTGAAGTTATTTTGTAGTGCACCATTACATACCCAGCCGTTAACAGACAATTAAACGGATCTACCTTTCCCCCTGTCCCTCCAAACCTCGAATTCCACGTTTCCCGTTCTCCCCTTTTTTCTCCCGCCGTCCTCCTCCCCCACCATCGTTCCCTACTCCTCGTTTACACCACCAGTGCCGTTTTTGACGGAGTGCCAGGCAGCATGGAAACGCAATTTGAGCGGATGGGACTCAACCTCCAACTGCAGCGAGGCCGAGTTTGTCACATGCGACCAGGACGGCATGCTCACCTCCATGTGCGTGCATGGCTGGTGTGGCGTGGCATGGCATGCATGGCATGCGCACCAGCATTTGATGGCATGGCATGGCATGGCATACACACCAGCATGTGAGTGCATGGCATGGCATGGCATGCACACCAGCACGCGAGCGCATGGCATGCTCACCAGCATGTGGGGCACATCACTTGAAGGTATGGTAGTATCCATCCTCCACTGTTCCCTCTCGCCCGCACCCTTTCATTTTCTTCTATTCCTCGTCCCCTTCTCGACCACTCCTTTTGCCTCTCTCGCTCCCTGCTCCACACCTCCGCACCTGCACAGCCGCGAGGGGTCTCAGATATCCCAATCACTCACAGGGTGCGCTTGTGTCAACTGTGAGGATTCTCCGCTCTGACACAAGCGCCCTCCACCCCTCGCTTGTGACACAAGCATCGCCTCCCCCTCTTTTCGCTCTCCACCCCTCCCTTCCACACCTCCGCCCCTGCAGGGACTTCAAATCCGAGTCGCTCACAGGGTTCTTGCCATCTTCCTTGAGAGCTGCCACACGCCTCTCCAGTCTGTGAGTGCACATGTCGCTCCAGGCCGGCTATATCCGTGTCACTTGCATTCACGTGCGTGGCAACAACCGCGTGTATGTGCATGCCAGGTGTGTGTGCGTACGTGTTTGTGCGTGCGTATGCTTGTGTGGGTGGGTGCATGAATCCCAACAGGAGATTCGAGCACAACCTTCTGAGTGGTTCCATTCCAGACACCATCGGCAACCTTCTCTCACTCCAATACCTGTGAGCTACCCCACCGGAACACACCACACCACACCATGCCACAACACCACATCACACCGCACACCTTATTTCACCGAGCTGTACTGCACCTAACGAACAATTCCCAGGGCTCTTGTACTTGCTGGCCATGCCAGTCACACAATGTCTCAAATTTGAGAATCCCCATTAGATTCCAGAGTTTTTTTTTTTTTTTTTTTTTCCCAAAGTCACCCTAGTGAAACAGTGCAAGAGTGCAAATATGGGCATTTATGCACTCATGAAGCGCCACCCACAAAAAGAATTGAACAGCCTGCCAGTATCCTTGTGCTTCCTCATTCTATCGCCCACCCTTCTAAGGTATGTGAACGCCATGGCACAGGCCGGCATAGGTTCAAGGTCTAACTCGCCCCACCCATGCTCCGTTCCTTGTGCTCTCAGTGAACTCTCCGCTAACAACTTTTCAGGAGGCTTGCCTTCCGCCATTGGGAAGCTCTCGTTGCTCACTTACCTGTACACCCCTGCTTCACTGGCTTGCCTGCCTTCATTGAATTGTTTGTGCTCGACCATGCTCGACCATGCTTGACCATGCTTGACCATGCTCGACCATGCTTGACCATGCTTGACCATGCTTGACCATGCTCGACCATGCTTGACCATGCTTGACCATGCTTGATCATGCTTGATCGTAGTTTCCAGCTTCCAGGTGGCCCATAGTGTGTGCATGTGCTCGGTCCCTGTCCAGTCATCTGCCTCTCACCATGATTCTCCCTACCTTCTCGCTATTTCTGCAAGTCCATCCCGCCATCCACACCCCCTTATTCCATCACCATCTTTCTTGCTCCCACACCAGCCACCACCCCTCTCACACTTCCAAAGTCCCGCACCTTCCCGCCCTCCTCTCTGACCTCCTCCTCCTCCTCCTCCTCCTCCTCCTCCTCCTCCTCCTCCTCCTCCTCCTCCTCCTCCTCCTCCTCCTCCTCCTCCTCCTCCTCCTCCACCACCCCCGCCGCCGCCGCCGCTGCCGCCAGCACCAGCACCAGCAGCAGCAGCACCACCACCACCAGCAGCACCACCACTCGCGAAGCAAGTTAAGAAGATTGAAGACGAACTTCGCAAGGAAATCACTGCGAAGGTTGAGGCCAGTCTTACAAAGAAACTGCAGAAGAATCTCTCTCTTTAAGGAGCAAGACCCTGCGCAGGCCGCTGCTGCCAATCCGAAGCAGAAGAACACGGCGGGGAAGCAGAAAAGTCAGGAGAATGACAACGCTGCACTTGCTGGATCCAAGCCGAGGAGGAGGCGTGGTGGGAAGAAAAAGAATCAGAAGCAAAATTCCGGCACCGACAAAGGCAAGCAGGCGGGAGGCCCTGTCAAAACTGATGCGGCCAAGGGACCAAAAAACGGCGGAGGCGGCCCCGAAAAAGGGCCGCGCAAGAAGAACTAACAGCCATGAGCTGGCTCTCCGTTGGTTTGGACGGCTGACGCCTCGACAAGCTGCTTTGCGCGTCCGAAACCGCGGAGTACACAACCTCAGCGCTAAAATCTTGTCTTCGGATGAGAAGACAGACGCTGGGGTTGGGATTGAAGTTCATCCCCACGCCCACCCTTTTCCTTTCGGCCGGAATTGAGCTCAATCGGCTCTTCCGGCAGATCTCGTTACACTTTTTCTTCAAGGATGCGGACGGTCCACCTAGGGATTCGCGGTTTCGTGTGCGTAACCCGACGTGGCTGCCCGATCGGATAGTGATTCCGGAGCAGGTCTTCAAGGACTCTTCTTTTGACTTGTCCGTCTTGTTGAAGGCATCTCGGTCTGACCAATGTCGGAATGTTACAGCTGGCGTTAGGAAGGCGTTGCGCACCATCGCTGCGGATCGAGACGTGGTGATTAAACCGGCTGACAAGAATTTTGGGATTACCGTGATGGAGCGGGGACACTACAATCGGTTGTGCATGGAATGGAACACTTAGGTGATGACACGACTTACTCTCCATTCTCTCACGATCCTACCGCCGATGTCTACCGGAAGCTGCGTGAACTGCACAGCGTTTGGGGCCCTGCTTTTCCCGAAACATTGTGGAAGTACTTTTTCAACCAGCCGCCAGGAGGATGGAAGCCCGCAGCGTTCTACATCTTGCCGAAGCTGCACAAGAGGGAGCTTGTGGGGCGCCCGATCGCCGCCTCACATTCATGGGTGACTTCGAATGTTAGCCGTTGGCTTGATGCTGAATTACGACAGTGGGTGGTGCAGCAGCAGACATACCTCCGCGATTCCCTCTCGCTACTCTTGAAGCTGGAAGAAACCGCCTTCTTGAAAGGGATCTTCCTAGCCACCTACGACGTTACATCTCTCTACCCCAGCATTCCACTTCGGAGAGGTATCGACGCAGTGAGTAGCATTCTTCAGAATGGGAAATACCACAATCACCTCCCGGTCATTGCCCTGCTGGAGTGGGTGATGATGAACTCGATCGTTGAGTTCGACGGCCATTTGTACCTACAGCGACAAGGGACTGCTATGGGAACCCCTGCAGCGGTGTGCTTCGCGGTGCTGTTCATGAGCCGTTTGGACGAGGTGCTGAGACACAGGTGGTCCGGGACGCAGCCGTTGTGCCACGTGAGATACATTGATGATGGCTTCATTGTTTGGCCAGGTTCTCGGAGTGAGTTGGAGTGCTACCTCAGCACTTTCAACGAATTGGATCCCAACATTAAGTTGACGTGGCACATCTCGGACTCCTCGGCTGACTTTCTTGACATGGTCATCTTCAAGGGACCACGTTTCGCCGAGGAGGGTTTCTTGGATCTGAAGACATTTCAGAAACCCATGAATAGTTACCTGTACCTGCCGTTTTCTTCTTACCACCCGCGACACTGCAAGGTCAGCTTCATTCGTGCGGAACTGAGACGTTATCTGTTACGTTCGACCTCTGCCAAAGCTTTCCTAGCCTCTAAGCACGCGTTTTTCCAACGGCTTAGAAGTCGCGGTTATCCTGGAGACTTACTTCTACCCATCTTTCAGAGTGTGTTCTTCAGAAACCGCCCTCTCCTTTTGGAGGCTACTGCCGCACGCCAAGCTCACAAGCTCAGCTCTCTCCCCCAACGCGGACCCCTAGTCTTGAAGACTCAGTTCACCCCGGTGACAGCTCGTCTCAGGCTGGGGGTCCTTTTGAGGCGCCTCAAAATGCACCTCACTACACGCGGATTTCATACGGAGAGGATTATTACAGCTTGGAAGTGTGCAAGTAACTTGCAAAAGTTACTGGTGCGCGCGCGGTTACATCAACGAAATGGTTGACGAAGACTTTCTCGAGGGCTGACTCTGCACCCAGGATGTACCCCATTTGCTTAGTTGGCCGAGTGACATGTCACTCTGGGTAGTCGGCTGTACATTTGTAGATCTCGAGGGCATTTGCTAGCTACTTAGCCTGCTTCTGTCCGGACTCTTTCTTTTTGTGGATCTGAGCTCACTGATGAAGGCTAAGCGGGTATGATCCCCGTAAGCCGAAGCATGTTTGTGCTGTAAAGATTCTCTTTAGTGAAGGTGTTTTACGGTTCTACTGATCGTGTTTTCCAGGAAAGATTTTTCAGTTTCGTTCCTTTTGTTGCTTTAAGCGCTACTCTTTAGAATTGCTGCTCTTCCATTATGAGCATAGACCACCACCACCACCACCACCACGCATGGCAGGTCGGTGTCTCGGAACCGACTGCCATGCTCGCCGCATGCATGTGCGTGGCAACAGCCATGTGTGTGTGCATGCTCATCTGTGAGTGCGTGCCTGTGCGTGCATGCGTGTGTGTGTGTGTGTGTGTGTGTGTGTGTGTGTGTGTGTGTGTGTGTGGATGCGTGTGCGCGCGCGCGTGCTGGTGTGTGTGTGTGTGTGTGTGCGTGTGTGTGTGTGTGCATGTGTGTGTGTGTGTGTGTGTGTGTGTGTGTGTGTGTGTGTGTGTGTGTGCATGAATCCCAACAGGGACCTTTACAACAACAGTTTGAGTGGTTCCATTCCAGACACCATCGGCAACCTTCTCTCACTGGAATACTTGTGAGCCACCCCAACAGCCCAAGAGTGCAACAGTTCAAGACTGCACGTATGGGCACTTATGCAAGAGAAGAATGCAGCCTGCCAATGTCGTTGTGCTTCCTCGCTCTATTGCCTACCGACTGGCGTAGGCCCATCTTCAAGATCTAACTCGCCTGCTCCGTCCCTTGTGCTCTCAGTGATCTCTCCGCCAACAACTTCTCGGGAGGCTTGCCTTCCGCTATTGGGAGGCTCTCGTTGCTCACTTACCTGTACACCCCTTGCCTGCCTTCATTGGATTGGGTTGAGCGTGCTTCATTGCGTTTTATGGTGCTCGATCGTACTTTCCAGCTTCCCGGCGGCCCATAGTGTGAGTGCACATCTTCTTGGTCCCTGTCCAGTCGTTTGCCTCTCTCCACGCTTCTCCCTGCCTTCTCTCTCTTTCTACGAGGCCTTCCTCCCCTCCACAACCTCCCATATGCCATTTCCATCCCTCTTGCTACCACACCAGCTACCACCCCTCTCACACTCTCACCACTCTCATTTCGCCACTCCCACACTCCCCATGTCCCCGCGCTCCCCCTCCTACCACCACCATCACCACCACCACCGCCGCCGCCGCCGCCGCCGCCGCTGCCACCGTTGCCACTGCCATCACACATGGCAGGTCGGTGGCTCAGAACCGACTGGAAGGCGAAATTCCCAAGACCATCTCTGCCCTCACCAACCTGCACCGGCTGTCAGTCTCATGCACGAAATGAAGCATGCATCGCATGGATGGATGGAAGGCAGCATGTATGCATGGATGCACACTAAGCGTGTGCGTCTGTTAATACGCACTGAAGAGCACCTTGTCTCGCCTCACTTCCCCTTCCTCCTGCCTTTTGCCCTGCCCCTCTCGCTCTGCCCCTCTGCTTCTCCTCCTTCCCTGCGTTTTTTCCACAAGTCTCACTCGTTGCACCTCCCCGTGTGTGTCCACTCACAAGTACCCAGAGCACCCACAAGCACCCATATGCGTTCACATGGACCCACATTAACCCACTAAATTCACGGTGCACCCGCACGCACCCATGTGCATCTGCGTCCCTGTTTCCTTTCTGCAACCCTCTTTTCCTCCCACCTGTCTGTCTGCTACTCGGCCAGCCAACTTATCTGTGTGTCTCGTCCCGGCAGGAGTTTGTTCAATAATTCATTCTCGGGTGCCATTCCCCCTGCCATCTTTCGGCTCAAGGGCCTCACCGCACTGTATGCCATGCACTCACCCCTGCATGCACCCATGCATGCACCCCTGCATGCACCCATGCATGCACCCCTGCATGCACCCATGCATGCACCCCTGCATGCACCCATGCATGCACCCCTGCATGCACCCATGCATGCACCCCTGCATGCACCCCTACATGCACCCATGCACGCACCCTTGTACCCATATTGCAACCGTGATGCATATGACTGCATTGGGTACAAGCAACAGAAGCGGCTTTGGTAGGCCTGGGAGTGCAGGTCACAAGACTAGCTGGGGAGAGGGGGAAAGGGGGTAAGATATGGGGCACGCTGGGAAGATTGGAAGAAAGAGAGAAACGTTGATGTCATGCTATGCCATGTGCGGCCCCTCCTACCACGTGCATGAGCAGGGAGTTAGGCAAAATTACTTCACGGGGTCCTTCCCCTCGCAGTTCAGTGACCTGGTCAACCTCGAGTACTTGTGAGGCCGCACCATGCTAGCTCTCTACCAGCGTGGGCCATGTGCCGTATTGCACGTGTTCTCCGCTATCCACTTACCTTGCTTCGTAGGACTCTGCCCTGCTCTGGCTTCACCACTTTAGAGCATGCACACCCCACTCCATCCACCATGCTGGGAATCAACATGGCATGTGCAATGGCATGTGGAATGGCATGTGGGATGGCATGTGGGATGGCATATGGGATGGCATGTGCAATGGCATGCGGAATGGCATGTGGGATGGCATGTGGGATGGCATGTTGGATGGCAAGTGGGATGGCATGTGGGATGGCATGTGCAATGGCATGTGGGATGGCATGTGGGATGGCATGTGGGATGGCATGTGGGATGGCATGTGGGATGGCATGCTGGATGGCATGTGGGTTGGCATGCAGGATGGCATGTGGGATGGCATGTGGGTTGACATGTGGGATGGCATGTGGGTTGGCATGTGGGATGGCATGTGGGATGGCATGTGGGATGGCATGTGGGTTGGCATGTGGGATGGCATGTGGGATGGCATGTGGGAAGGCATGTGGGATGGCATGTGGGATGGCATGAGGGCTGGCATGTGGGATGGCATGTGGGATGGCATGTGGGTTGGCATGCGGGTTGGCATGTGGGATGGCATGTGGGATGGCATGTGCGTTGGCATGTGGGATGGCATGTGGGTTGGCATGTGGGATGGCATGTGGGATGGCATGTGGGATGGCACGTGGGTTGGCATGTGGGATGGCTTGTGGGATGCCATGTGGGAAGGCATGTGGGATGGCATGTGGGATGGCATGTGGGTTGGCATGTGGGATGGCTTGTGGGATGCCATGTGGGAAGGCATGTGGGATGGCATGTGGGATGGCATGTGGGTTGGCATGTGGGATGGCATGTGGGATGGCATGTGGGTTGGCATGTGGGTTGGCATGTGGGATGGCATGTGGGATGGCATGTGGGTTGGCATGTGGGATGGCATGTGGGTTGGCATGTGGGATGGCATGTGGGATGGCATGTGGGATGGCATGTGGGTTGGCATGTGGGATGGCATGTGGGTTGGTATGTGGGATGGCATGTGGGTTGGCATGTGGGTTGGCATGTGGGATGGCATGTGGGATGGCATGTGGGTTGGCATGTGGGATTGCATGTGGGTTGGCATGTGGGATGGCATGTGGGATGGCATGTAGGTTGGCATGTGGAATGGCATGTGGGATGGCATGTGGGATGGCATGTGGGCTGGCATGTGAGATGGCATGTGGGTTGGCATGTGAGATGGCATGTGGGTTGGCATGTGGGATGGCATGTGGGTTGGCATGTGGGATGGCATGTGGGTTGGCATGTGGGATGGCATGTGGGTTGGCATGTGGGATGGCATGTGGGATGGCATGTGGGATGGCATGTGGGTTGGCATGTGGGATGGCATGTGGGATGGCATGTGGGATGGCATGTGGGTTGGCATGTGGGATGGCATGTGGGTTGGCATGTGGGATGGCATGTGCGTTGGCATGTGGGATGGCATGTGGGTTGGCATGTGGGATGGCATGTGGGTTGGCATGTGGGATGGCATGTGGCAGGGAGGCAAGCTACCTGAATCTGACAGGCGAGTTGCACTCAAGCTTGGCAAACTTGAAGAAACTTCAGGCGCTGTGAGTTGGAGGAGCAGCACACAGCACAGCATGAATGGCATGCATGTCCAACCCCAGGTGCTACACCCATCTCACTGCAGAAGACTCGAATTTTGCAACGCACAAGACATCACAACACATTACAACACACACTGGACGCAGCAAACTCGTTACTCAACGCTCGGCCCCACCCATGACTCAATCCACCACCATCCCTTTGTTTTGCCCCACCCATCACTCCGCCCATGGCCCCACCAGCTTTGCGCAGGGGAACGCCCTCCAGGGCAGCATCCCTGCCACTCTGGGTCGCCTCAGTAGCCTCACCATCATGTAAGCCAGCAGCGGTGGAACGTTTATCACTTTTGAGATATTTCAAGAGTGATACAAGCAACGTCGCTAGCTAGCAGCGCCAAAGGTGACTGTTGAATTGAAGTCGCCTCAGTCTGAGTCGCCACAAAAAACAATCTCCATTGTGTAGGCCAGGAGCATAAAAAAGGCCAATATTTGTGCATTTATTACCCATTTACCAGTTACCTCTTCTCGTTACTCCGGTCTTTCCTCCCTCTTCACACACACCATCTCCTGCCAGCTTTCCTTTCCCATTTTGTAATTTTCAGAATTATCTCCTCAGGCAAACTAGCAAAGCAAGTCCATCATGACTTGCCTTCACTGCCTTGCACTCCTCTTCAGTCCACATTCTTCTCTTCCCTTCTCACCTCCCTCTCAAATCCTACTCTCTCCTCGCACCACTCGCTCCCCTCCACGAGCATCAGTCAGTTGGGCGGCAACATGCTCACCGGCTCCATCCCTGATTCTTTCTCCAACCTCAACTACCTGCAAGGCTTGTACGTCGCTGCCGCTCCCTCCTCCCTCTGCCCCTCCTCCCTCTGCCCCTCCTCCCTCTGCCCCTCCTACCTCTGCTCCTCCTTCCGAGCTTCTCCTCCCTCTGCGCCTCCCCTCTCTACTCCTCCCCTTAGTGCTCATCCGCTCTCTGCTCCTCCCCACTCTGCTCCTCCCCACTCTGCTCCTCCCCACTCTGCTCCTCCCCACTCTGCTCCTCCCCACTTTGCTCCTCCCCACTCTGCTCCTCCCCACTTTGCTCCTCCGCCCTGCTCCTCCCCCATCCTCCTTTGCTTCTCGTCTCTTATCGCATCACTCCCTGTTCAGCAACAGGGCAATGAAACACTTTACGCTGCCTCTTGTTTTCTTCCCTACCACTCCTTCACCCCCCTTACCCTTTCCCACCCTTTCAACCCCTCCCCACCCTTCCCACCTTCTCCTCCCCCTCGCCCCAACCTCCAATCGCCTCGACCGCTGTCTCGTTGATCTCTCCCATGCAGCTACCTGTGGAATAATCAGCTGAATGGGTCGTTGGATGTTCTCCCCTACTTTATTTTCCTGGAGCAGATGTGAGTCATGCTGACACCTCTGTTGCCACCCATGTAACCCCGCTGTATGGTGCTGTGTCGCGCTGTGTCATGCTCTCAATATCGGTCTGCCTCTTATTAAAGGTCAGAAGTTGCGGAGAAAAACTCTACAACGGTAGTGAGCTAGACTACGGGGGTTGGCACGAACTACTAGGAGTGATCGTAACTTTGCTTAGTTCCTTAGTGCTTGAGCATTCACACGAAAAATCGGCAAGAGTTTCCACTAGGCAAAGTCGAAATTTCAGAATGATTGAACAATTAATGACAGAATGACTACATCAGGCACCTAGCAACTTTGCAGCTAGCCTGGTCGACCGCCAGCACAGCTTGGTCGACCGCATGCCAGCGCTGCGTAGAGGAGCCGCGCCAGCACTGCGGAATGCCAACAGAGCAGGTCGACGGCGTGCCAACGCTGCAGCAGAGTGGCTGTCCGGCGTTACCCCGTAGAACACAGCAGTGCGCACGCTTGCAGGTGCGCGCAGACGATTGACCTGACTTGCCTTGTTGGGCATCCGTCGGCTGTTGTCTACGTCTGACGAGCCACATCGACTTTGGGATACCAACCCTCAGTCACCCTCGCCATCGCGACCTCGACGACGTTCGCGTGCCTCCGCAAAACTCGCCGAGCAGGTTACCCAGTCGACCTGGTCGACCACCGGGTGCTTCCGGTCGACCACCACTACCTCTTGTCGACCACCAGGTCCCTCTGGTCGACCACCAAGTGCCTCTGGTCGACCACAGTTCCCGTCGAGCTACCCCCTGGTCGACGGACCCTTTCCGTCGACCGGAACAGTCAGCGGTTGTCGCCGAGCTCCCCTCGTTGACCGGTGCTCACTCGTCAGGTCGACGGACTGCTCCGTCGAGCTCCCGGTCGAACTACAGGTCGACGGGCTGCTCCGGGGACCTCCCGGTCAAACTGTAGGTCGACGGACTGCTCCGTCGACCTCCCGGTCGAATTGCCCCTCCTGGTCGACGGCCCACCCGTCGCCTAGACCAAGTCGGTTGCAGCTGTCGAGCTCCTTGGTCGACAGCAACACCACAGGGTCCCTTGCAGCTCGACGAAGCCTGTTGAGCAGCTCTCCCACTGTGAACGGTCGGCTGCTACTCCCGTACATCCGACCAAGTCGTCGGCGTCGCCAAAGCGAGGGCGGGGCCAACACTCCATTCCCGTTTACAGAAGCAACAAGAGCGAGCATCAGGTTGTTGGCCGCACATCCCTCTCCGCGCACCACCCCTTTCTCTTACTGCCCATGCATGCACGCCTTTTAATCCGCAGGGCCATTCAGTACAACCAGTTCACGGGATCCATTCCCAGTGACATTTGGCTGCTCGATTCGCTCAACCACTTGTTAGTCATGCCCATGCCCATGCCCATGCCCATGCTAATGCCCATGCCCGTGCCCATGCCCATGCCCATGCACCTACATGCACAGTTATACACACACATACATTCATATTCACATACATATGTGGACGCACATGCACACATAATTGCCATGCACATTCCTGCCATGCACATACCTGCCATGCACATACCTGCCTGTCATGCACATACCTGCCATGCACATGTAAACTGTGTGTGCCACAGCCATGCGTGTGTTCAAGGCTCTGGCACCCACGATCATGCACACCCCTGGTTGAGGTGCATGGATTCCTCGCCGCCATTGCCCTTTTCCTGCCCCATCGCCCCTTTGACACTCCTTGAGCGCATGCCCATGCTCTTCTCCTCTCCCTCACTGCCCCTGACAAGCCTGTTTGCCACGGGTCCTTGCAAAACTGGCTTGGCTCTTTACATGGCATGGGGCATGGGGCATGGGGCGTGGGGTTGGGTTTATGGGGGGCATAGGGCATGGGGCATGGGGCATGGGGCATGGGGCATGGGAAATGTGTCACGCTGTGCAATGTCAGCAATCTAGCGAGCAGCAAGCTGACGGGAGCCATTCCAACGGCCATAGGCAGCCTCGTCAACCTCACCACCTTGTCAGTGTCGCCACACCCCACCCCTGGGCCCGGATCTTAAGATTCTCCCCCTATGCATGCACTCCCTTCTATGCATGCACTCCCTTCTATGCATGCACTCCCTTCTATGCATGCACTCCCCTCTATGCATGCACCTGTTCACCTAACATCTATCTCACATGCTTACCCCTACTATCTCCTCCTTGTCCACTCTGCCAATCTTCCTGCATGTCTGCTTGCCTGTCATACACTCTTCATTCTTGCTCTCGATCCCCTTCTTATCTCATCCGTCTCTTCACCCGTACCTTCTCCTGAACGCCATTATCACCATCAAGCAACGATTGTGCTATATTGCTCAGCAAAACCAAGTTCCTCATGCCCAATTATCCTGGGGACCACCAGGTAGTGCACAACTTCCTTCAGCTTTAGCTTTTGCCACCTATCTTCACTGTACTAACCGATCCATTGACGATATCTGCGGCCAATGTGATTCTTATCTGCCATCATCATCAACATCATCATCATCTCCTGCTTGCCTGTAACACACTCCACCCATCATCTTCTCCGCCGTGCCAATGGTGCTGACAATGCTGCTGCTGCTGCTGCTGGTGCCACTTGCTCGCTCGCTGTGCATCCACCTTACATTCGGCATGGGTCATGTCAGCAATGTGTCTCAGAACATGCTTATTGGCTACCTACCTGCGTCCATGGTCGCCCTCACCAATCTCAAATACCTGTACGCACCGCTCATCACGCACCACGCACCTCTCACCATGCACCACACGACATGCACCGTGCACCATGCACTAAGCGTCTTACTTACTTTTTTCTTGAATAAGACATATCAAAATTTCACCTTTTCATGCGCTCCTTACCTTTCCCCCACCTCAAAACCTCAACCCACCCAATCCAAGCCCTATTCCCTTTCCCTCTTTCGTATGTCATTTCTTCGTTTTTCTGGGCGGCATCAATTCTCCTTGACACCTCTCCCTTTTGCTCCCATCTCCCCTTTATGGAATTCTGAAATGCGACTGACACCTCTCCTTTCCCAGCTTCCTTCTCTACCCTTCGCTCCCTCCCCCTCCTCTCCTTCTCCCCCTTCCTACTCCTCACCCTCCCTCCTCCTCCAACTCCTCCCACCCAACCGCCCATCACTCTCTCCCCTCTCAGTGGCTACACACAAAACCCCGCAGGGCTGGTGACATGCCCGCTGAGTGACAGGAAGCAGTGTGCATCATTTAGCTCCAAAAACATCGCCGTGCAGTACTGTGTCAGTTGCTCTGACTTCTGCGTCAACTGCACCTTGCTGAGTGAGTGCGCCACGTGCTGCTGGTTTGTGTGCAATTTTGGGTCACATGAGTGAGTGAGTGACTGAGTGAGCCATGCGGAATCACAAGGACTGGGCCGTACACAAACAATCGCATGTGATGGGGCATCAAGTGATGGGACACCTCTTTAGGCGCCTCAAAGAATCTCCTTGCCACTGTATTCATCCTCCCCTTTCTTTATCTGCCAACAACACATGCCTCTCTCCTGCCCTCATCCTCCATCTCATTCCCACTGCATCCTCCTTTTTTGAAACCCACACAACTTCCCCCTTGCTTCCCCAACCCCCTCTGCCTCCTTCTTTCCCCCCACCACCTTGGTGGCTACTTGGTAGATTCGGTTAAGTCTCCACCACCATCGCCACCAGTCGTCCTCCCTCCGGCAGTCTCCACACCACCATCACTCCCCTCACCCACACCACCATCACTCCCCTCACCCACACCACCATCACTCCCCTCACCCGCACCACCCACTCCCACTATCTCACCTCCTTCCACTGAGCCCTCTCCGGCCCCTCCTGCGTCTCCACCTTCCTCCTCGGGGCTATCAGTGGGGGCCATTGCGGGGATTGCCGTGGCGGGTGTTTTTGTGCTCGCGCTGCTGCTGCTGCTGTCGCTGCTCTTCTTTCGCATGCGGAAAGAACCAAAGCCATTCTTGCAGATTGAAGGTGATGCTGCTGCTGCAGCTGCTGCAACCGCTGCAGCGGCTGCCGTTGCTGGCTCAGGTACGAACGGCTGGTCACTGGAATGACACGTGTCTTCACTAAAGTCACCCTGCTGCTACAGCAGCTGCATCCGCTGCGGCCATTTGGTGGTGCCTCCTCAAACAGATAGGTGTGGTAGGACAAGTAGCGTCGTTCAGGACAGCTGCAAGTCTTGTGTCGACCCGAAAGCGGATAGGCTGGGTGGGTGTTGAGCCGACTCAAAAGTCATAATGCAGCAGCAGCTTATACTGGTGGAGAAGTGTCCCGGGTAGATAGGGTTGGTCACTGGTAGTACAAGTGTCATCGTTTGAGTTAGCTCAACAGGCGGTTCCAAAAAGATCACTTGCTCACGAGGGTGCCTGCATTGACTCAACAATATGAGAGGCTGTTTCTGAGCTGGCTCAAGAGGCAGTTGAATGGGAAGAAAAGGTGACGTGTGTGTCTGCTTTTCTTGAGATGTGTCAGGAGTTTGCCAAGGTATGTGTGTTGCTTGTGTCGACTCAATGGCCGCCTCAGAATTGCTCCACCCACTCCCCTCTGCCGCAACTCTCTACTTTACCATCTCCCTTACCTCTTTCCCGCACCCCTCTACTGCAATCCTCTCCCTTACCCTCTCAATACCCTCTCATTTACCCTCTCCCTTCCCTCTCCCTTACCTCTCCTCCACCCCTCTCTCTCTCACACCTCCTTTCAGGTAGCACGAGTGGTTCCAAGGATCCGTCGGGGCAAGCATTAACAGGGACGGCAGGGGCGGTGGGGGGCCCGGCGGTGTGTAGGCAATACCGGCTGGACGTGCTGGCAGCGGCAACGGGCATGTGGGCGGAGGCCAACAAGATCGGCAGCGGGGGGTTCGGGGACGTGTACCGTGCTGAGGACCCTGCCGACCCCTCCACGCTCTGGGCTGTCAAGCGCGCCAAAGTGCTCACCAATGACTTCCGCCGCGAGGTGAGAGTCATGGGGTGTGGATGGGACTAGCAATTGCGATCCCAGTGCTCACCAATGACTTCCGCCGCGAGGTGGGAATAGTGTGGTGCGTGTGTGTATGTGGAGTGACTCTTTCTTGCTCGGTGTAAGTGTGTTTTGAAGGAATTACGACGGGAGATGGAACTTGCGGGATCGGACCTCCTATTGCAGGCTCATGAATAGTGAGAATGGTGCCTTATGAATGGTCCTCGCCTGGGCCCAGCCACCTTTTGAGGGCTCCAAAAAAAGATTCACTGATGCTCCTCAAGTTTCGAGGCATCTCAAAACACTTATCAAGGTCTCCATGCACACCTCAAAACGCTCCCCCACACCTCCCTCCTCCTCGCCATCCGCCCTGCACATTTGCATGCAGGTGAACGAGATGGCATCGAAGCACCACCCACATCTGGTGCGGCTGCTGGGGTTCTGCATCGATTACAACGAGGCCACGGAGCAGACGGAGCAGATCCTCATCTACGAGTTCATGCCCAACGGCGACCTCGAATGCTGGCTCGGCCCTGGTGTGTTTCATGCTTGCTCGTTTCCTTGGTGTGTTACTAATTAACCATGCCCTTTTCTGTGCTGCATTGCTTGTCCTCCTCACTTCCACATACGAGCATTTTCTCTGTCAAAAGACCAGCACTGGGTTTCCCTGATTGATCCTAGCGAACGGTTACAGGCTCAGAGTCCGAAGGGTTACAGACGCATTCACCCGCTACAAATTAAGTTATCCCAGTGGTGTAGTAGTGGGATTTTGACATAGTTTAAGAATGACCATGTGCGCGCATGCTGGCACACATGTCGTTGCCATTGTGCCGTGTCCTGGGCCGTCCTAGTGAAAGGGGGGTGACAGAAGACCTGCACTCGGGATCCTCAATGGATCTTAAAGAAGAGTTACATGCTCAGTTCCTAACGGGTTATAACCCACTCATCCGCTACTTAACAAGTCATTTTATCCTAGTAGTGTAGTGGTTGAGAATCTGACAATCTCACCGTACTCTCGTGCGGTGATTAGTAATAACATGAGGTCCACTTGTTCGGCTACATAGTCCGTCACCTTAACTCCATGTCTTTCCCTCCTCTTTCCTGTTTGTCGCTTTTGTTCCTTCCTTCCCTGCTGCAGCTGCCGCCCAGCCGCTCTCTCTGCTGCAGCGCTTGGATGTGATGATCGGAGTGGCGGAGGGGCTGCAGTACTTGCACAGCTTTGGCATCGTGCACCGCGACATCAAGCCCGCCAACATCCTGCTGGATTGCAACTTGCAGGTAAGCACACAGAGCTACCTGGCTATGTTGCATCAACGTACTTCTGCTTAGTGTCATGCCACAGGCAGGCATACAACACACCCACATATGCTTCACTGATGCCTGCTGCATGTAGCTTTCATGCGGTTATACACACAAATAAAGCACCTGCTTGTACCATGAGCTTCTTTCATCTTCTTGTTGCTTCTCCATTGGCTGCTCATCCCATCCATGGCAGGCGAAGGTAGCAGACTTTGGGCTGGTGAGGATGGGTGAGGGCACGACCGTGGGAGCCACGCGGGTGATGGGCACACCGGGCTATGTGGACCCGGCTTACTACAAGTCTCAGAAGGCCACGCCTGTGGCTGATGTGCACAGGTGATGACGATGAGTGCAGGGATGGGTGATGTGCATAAGTATGGGTGATATGCACGGGCCAGTGATATTAGCCTATTTGTACAGGCTAGGGTGACGCTTGCAGGCTTAGTTGATCTTTGGGAGAACTTTATGTGAAGAAAATCATTGAGTTTTTTTGTGCCCTTTTTGCAGTGCCTGCTGCGCTCTTCCGTCTCCTAAGGGTGTACCATCCATTCGTCTCTCTCCCATGCCTCCCACGCCTCCCATCCCTCCCACGCCTCCCATGCATCCCATGCATCCCATGCCTCCCATGCATCCCATGCCTCCCACGCCTTCCATACCTACCATGCCTCCCGTGCCTCCCATGCTTCCTGGGTCTCCCTCGCCGCTCTCAGCTTTGGAGTGGTGATGCTCACGATCCTGACGGCACGCAAGGCTGTTTACAACTCGGAAGACAACCAGATCAACCTAAAAAAATGGGTCCGTGCCAACCACCCCTCGCCTCTTTGCTCGTGCTCCTCTTGCACACGTCCATGCTCATGGTGCTCTTTCCGTGCTCACGCCATTGTCCAGCTCATCTCTATGCCCATGTTCATATCCATGCACATGTTGGAAAAAGGCGGCATCTTGCTTGTTGGTCTTTAGCTATTTTGTTATAGATTTTACTGAGTTTGGCTTTGGGTTGTGTTGCGTCTAGGCTTTTCCATCCTCAACCTATCCAAACTCATCAAACCCTATCCATCCAAAATCTTCATGATTTGAATGGACCCCCCTTGAATTCCCTCCTAGTTACACCTTACCCACTTAACCCTTTTTAGTCTGTTTTATTCAAGTTCACGTACCTTTCTTTCTGATCAATTGATTATATTCTTGTTTTGACCTGCACATGCACTTGCTCTCACTCTCTTCGATCTCTGTGGGCATGCATGCGCAAACACGCACCTGGACTCCCCATTCGTCCTTATCGCCCAAAGCGCATTATTTTTCACCGTCATCCGCTGCCCTCCTCTCCCTTCCCACTCCTCTCCTCTCCCCTCCTATCCTCCCACCTCCCATCCCTCCCCCCGTCAGGTGGCACCATTCATAGCAGCCAACGACGGAGTGACCTTCAAAGACCCGGCATTGGACGCCCCGCCAGACATCATTCTGCGCCTGGCACGCCTGGCGCTCAGCTGCACCGCCATGCCCACTGTGCTCCGCCCCAACTTAATTAAAATACTTGCTGAATTGGAGGCTATGCGCGAGGAGGTCAGTGGTGCCACCCGTAACCGTATGGCGAGGCGGATTGACATGGAGATTGACGACAAGCAGGGGCACAACCTGGAGGAGGAGGTGGCGAATGCAATTAAATTAGGGTCGAGCGGAGATGGTGAAGAGAGTAAGAAACGCAGTGAGTGAGGGATTGATGAGGAGGGTTGTGGCCTGGATGAATGGCGGTGGGTTCACAATATCAGGTAATTTGGTAGGAATGTGTGTGTGTGTGTGTTGCCTTCTTAGGACTGCTATTCCTAAGGCGGCTATAATATTGCTATAGTAGTAGTAATGTCTTTGTGTCATAAAGGATGGCTTATTCTGAACCAGCTACTGTAAACCCATGGATAAAAGACTCCCTGCAGTAGGAGACCCCCAGGTCTTCAATACAGGGGGTGGACTTAATTTCGATATGGAGTTATACTCCACGTTTGGGCTGAAAACATAAGACACGTATCTCAGTTCGCAAGGCTTTCCTGTGACAAGAGGGCTGGTTTAAAAAGAGTATCTGCCAAGTCAACGCGTGACAATGACAAGTATGACCGCTTGCCTGCCAGGTCACCAGGTATGGAAGCTGGACCCTGACTCCACGGATCTACCCGCCTTACTTGGGCCATACCGAAGACGGATTTCTTTCATCGTGTTTTCACATAAGACGCGTTTGACATGTGTATTTTCTCTCTTATACAACCGTGCTTCCGGGTAGGAAACGAAACCTTTCGAGATAAGAAAGTTTGGAACGCAGTGGCGAGACGATGAAATGGGAGGCGTGAACATGCCATCAGCACCCTGTGTTCCCTTCGATGAGCTCCCTGCATTTTGCACTGGTACCAAGACTCATAAAACTGGTGAAGGAAACACGTTGTCCAGAAGTATGCAATGACTTGTGTTAGCACAGCCAAAGACTCCGTCAAGGTTCCTGGTTGGCCTGACAGGGGTGTGTGCTCCTGCACGCGGACTGACGGACTCACGGACTCGCTTCCGTCGTAGCCTCCCCCGCTAATAGCGCCCAAGTGCACCCGCTGCGCGCCGAGCAACGATATTCGATCAACGTGTGGTACTAGAACTAGGAAAGAAACCGTTTGTACGCTTTCTTTTGTACCAACATTCGGGCGTGGTTTCACCGGGCGCCGCCTCCTCCCTCCGCCGCAGCCGTTCATGGCGCGCCAGCCGCGGATGGTTCTGCTCATCCATCTCCGCCTGCTCTCCGCCGTCGTTGCCGCGCTGGTTCTCTCACCCGCATGTGTCCGCTCCCCGCCACTCGCGCGCGCGCAGCTCTGGGCCAAGTCGCAGCGTGAGTGACTATTGAGGCGCCTCAAACGCTGCCACGCTGATTCTGTCGCCCGCATTTTTGCTCTCCCCGTTGCCGCCACTGCTAGCGCGCGCTCAGCTCCGGGCCAAGTCGCAGCGTGGGTGCGTCGGGCCGCGTTCTTCGTGCGGGCCTTAGTCATCGTAGGTTCTCTGGTCCGGCTGGGATAGTAGCAAACTCAACACGCGCTTTCTAGGTTGTTGCTACTATGTTGTGTGGCATCATAGAAATCATGGAATGCGATGCACCATCTTATACCCGGCCTCCGCAATCCATGTCATGGAGTCATAAATAATGGACTGCTGAAGTAAGGCCTCCGCAGCCCACCTGCTTCTCTTTGTCTAAAATCAGGCATCGTAGAATGAACAGTCTTATACCAGGCGATTCCTTACAACGAGAAGAGAATTCGACCTTCTCCCCTCCCCCTTGCAATCCCCAACTCCACTCTCTCCCCGTCCTCCCCTTCTTCACCCTCTCTCTTCGCCCTACTCCACCCGGCTTTCCCGTTCTCTCCGTTTCTCCCTCCTACATCCTCCCACCCCATCCCCCCCACGTCCCCGTCCCCCGCGTCCCCCTCCCCCTGCTCTCCGCGGCAGTGACGTTTCTGACGGAGTGCCAGGCGGCATGGACGCGCAGTTTCAGCGGATGGGACGCCACTTCCAACTGCAGCGAGGCCGTGTTCGTCACATGCGACCAGGACGGCATGCTCACCTCCATGTGCGCGCATGGCTTGGCATGGCATGGCATGGCGTGGCGTGGCATGGCATTGTGAAGCATGGCATGGTATGGTGTGGCATGGCATGGCGTGGCATGGGCATGGCATGGCATGCTCACCAGCGTGTGGGGAACATCATGGGAAGGCATGGTAGTATCCAACCTCCACCATTCTTTCTTTTATCCCTCATCCCCCCTCTCACTCCCTCCCTCCCTCCTCTCGTCCCCCGCTCCACACTTCCGCCCTCCTCGCCCGGCCGCCAGGGGCCTCTTATATCCCATCCCAGTCATTCAAAGAGACCGCCTGTGTCACCTGTTGTCACTCTCCTGTGGGACTGACTGTCACATGCATCGCCTCCCCCTCTCGTCCCTCCCCTTCCACACCTCCGCCCCTGCGCGGCTGCCAGGGGCCTCTTGTCGCAGTCGCTCACAGGGTTCCTGCCATCATCCATGGGAGCTGCCACACGACTCTCCAAGCTGTGAGTGCGCATGTCGCTCCATGCCGCCTGTACTTGTCTCCATGTCAAATCTGAGAATTCTCCAAAGTTTCGTGCATAGGTGCTGTGCTGTGCAGCCTTGCTCGCTACATTCACTTGCATGGCAACAGGCGCGTGCACGTGTGTGCATGCGTGCGTGCGTGTGTGTGTGCATGGGTGTGTGTGTGTGCATGGGTGTGTGTGTGTGCATGGGTGTGTGTGTGTGCATGCATGCGTGTCTGTGTGTGTATGTGTGTGTGTCTGTGTGTCTGTGTGTGTGTGTGTCTGTGTGTCTGTGTGTGTGTGTGTCTGTGTGTCTGTGTGTGTGCGCGCGTGTGTGTGTGCTTGTGCGCATGTGCGCACGCGCGTGTATGCATGTGTGCGTGCGTGTATCCATGCATGCGTGCGTGCATCCATGTGTGCGTGCATGAACCCAACAGGGGCTTGTATAACAACATTCTGAGTGGTTCCATTCCAGACACCATCGGCAACCTTCTCTCACTCCAATACTTGTGAGCTGCACCTCACCCGCTGGCCAGACGAGGGCGATATCCCACCTTACAAGTCCTTATCTCTTGCACTTCGTCGCTCTATCGCCTACCCTTTCAAGGCATGCAATCACCATGAAACAGGCCGGCCGGCCAGCATGCAGTCAGTATCCAACTCGCCCCATCCATGCTTTCTTCCTCCCTCCCTTGCGCTCTCTCCACGTGAATCTCTCCCTCTCCCCAGTGATCTCTCCGCCAACAACTTCTCAGGAGGCTTGCCTGCCGCTATTGGGAAGCTCTCCCTGCTCACTTACCTGTACGCCCGCGCTTCATTGCCCTCATTTCCCTCATTGCCCTCATTGCCTTCTCTGCCTCTCTCATTGCTTCCCTCACGCTTTCAGCAACTCTATACCGTCATTCGTGCCCTTCTTTTATCTCGATCACTCTCGCCAGCCACCACCTCTCTCACACTCCCACCACCACCTCATATCGTCCCTCGCTACTACACTCGCACTCCCACCTCCCCGCCCTCGCCCCCCACCACGACCACCACACATAGCAGGTCGGTGTCTCAGAACCGACTGGCTGGCGCTATTCCCAGCACCATCTCCGCGCTCTCCAACCTCGAGCAGCTGTCAGTCTCATGCATGCATGGGATGAAGCATGCATGGATGCACGGATGCAGCTTGCGCCTGCCAGCACACACTGAAGAGTACCCTGTCTCGCCTCAGTTCCCGCTCTCGCTTGCTCCTGCCGTTTGCCCTGCCCCTCCACGCACCCACATGCACTGGCATGGACCCACACGCACCTCTGTCCCTGTTTCCCTCTATCTGTCTGCCCTGTTTCTCTTCTTAGCAGCAGCCTGTACAACAACTCGTTCTCGGGTTCCATTCCCCCTGCCATCTATGGGCTCAAGGCCCTCACCGTGCTGTATGCCATTCATGCACCCATTCACGCGCCCATGCACGCGCCCATGCACGCACCCATGCATGCACCCATGATGCATATGATTGCATGGTTAGGGTGCAACCATCACAAGTAGTGCGGGCGGCCTTGGTAGGCTTATGAGCGCAGGTCGCATGACTACTTTGGGGGAGGGCGAAATGGGTGGGTGCGGGATTGAGGGAGATGTTGAAACCATGATGGCATGTCACGCATGCGATAGAAAGAAGATTGAGACCATGATGGCATGTCACGCATGCGATAGAAAGAAGATTGAGACCATGATGGCATGTCACGCATGCGATAGAAAGAAGATTGAGACCATGATGGCATGTCACGCATGCGATAGAAAGAAGATTGAGACCATGATGGCATGTCACGCATGCGATAGAAAGAAGATTGAGACCATGATGGCATGTCACGCATGCGTCCTCCCACTCATGTATGAGCAGGGCGGTAGGACACAATCACAACACGGGGCGGGGCGTTCCCCTCACAGTATCGTTATCCTTTGAAGAATTCTCAGTAATGCCCTGCCGCGCCCTGCATCCCCCTCCATGCGTGCATGAGCAGGGAGGTAGGGCGCAACTACTTCACGGGGTCCTTCCCCTCACAGTTCGGTGCCCTGTCCAACCTCGAGTACCTGTGAGCTTCCCCCCCTGCTTGCTCCACCTGCATGTGCGCATGCTCCATGCCATGCGCCCATGCGTCCGTGTGCATGGGCCATGTTTCCTTGTGCATGTGCCATCCTCCATCCGCGTTGCATCAGGAAGCACACTCGCAGTGAACTTGTTTCCTTTCACACGCTGCCCCTGCCTCTGTGCCCTCGCGTCACCACCTCTTGGGAGCACCCATGCCCCAACTGGTCCATGTGACGAGCATGCCCCAATATACCCTGCCATGCGGGCATTCATGTGGCATGTGGCATGGCGTTTGCCATGCGTGTGGCATGGCATGTGGCATGGCAGGGAGGCAGGCAACATGGGTTTAACAGGCGAGCTGCACTCGAGTCTGGGCAACTTGAAGTATCTGCAGGCGCTGTGAGTCCATGGAGGCAGCACACACACACAGACAGCACAGCACACACAGCACACACAGCACAGCACACACACACAGCACAGCACACACACACAGCACAGCACACACACACAGCACAGCACACACACACACAGCAGCTGATGATTTGAATGCCCGCATCATGGAACTGCGTACCATGCAGCCAGCCCAATGCTTTGACTTGCACATATACAACACAAATTTTGGAACACTCTTAACACTCTCCACACACTACGCAACACGGAGGACACAGCACTCATCACCCAGCACTCAACTCAGTCCTACTCGGGCATGAATCAAACCCCCACTATTCCCTCGTTTCTCCCACCCCACCCATCACCCCACTCATGGGCCCACCCATCACCCCACCCATCGCCCCACCATGGCCACACCCATGGCCCCACCAGCTATGCGCGGGAGAACGCCCTCCAGGGCAGCATCCCTGCCACTCTGGGTAGCCTCAGCCGCCTCACCATCATGTAAGCCAGCACCTCCAGAAGTGACTGTCTGTCAAGTTGATTCAAAAATCACCTCACTCTGGGTCTGCGTCACCCCATGGCCCCTCAGCATTGATCATATACGCCAGCCAGCAGCTCGCCAAGGAAAACCAGTTCCATTTGACCCTCTAACCCTCCCCTCCCCTCTCTCCTCTCACCGCTATCTTCTCCTTTCACTTCCGGCTTCTGGTACTCCTCGCTCCCTCCCCACGAGCATCAGTCAGCTGGGCGGCAACAAGCTCACCGACTCCATACCTGCTTCCTTCTCCAACCTCCTCAATCTGCAAGGCCTGTGCGTCGCCTCTCCTCCCTCTGCCCCTCCTCCCTCTGCCCCTCCTCCCACTGCCCCTCCCCTCTCTGCTCCTCCCTTCAAGCCCCCCCCCCTCGCTACTCCTCCCTCATGCTGCGTTGTTTCGTGTCTCTCCTCCCAAACTTTACTCCTTCAAAAACAGGTTCATAAACAACACTTTGCTTTTCCTCGTGCTTACTCCCCTACCGCTCCCCCCTCCTTCCTTAACTTCCAACCCTTCCCCACCTTCTCCTTTCCCGTGCCCCCACATCCGTTTGACTGACTACTGTCTCACTCATCCCCACACCCTCTCATGCAGCTACCTGTGGCCATGTGTAATGAGGTTATTTCTGAGACGTCTCAAAAACGACCCCACATCCGTTTGCCTGACTACTGTCTCCCTCACCCCCACACCCGCGCATGCAGCTACCTGTGGCAGAATCAGTTGAATGGGACTATGGATGTTTTCACTAGCCTTACAGCCTTGCAGCAGCTGTGAGTCCCGTTGCCACCCATGCTTCAAACTCATGCTGCCAACCATGCTGCCATACATGTGAGCCATGCTGTGTTACATACTGTGTCACACTCTATGGCGCCATGTCAGACTGTGTCGCTCTGTGTGGCGCTGTGTGACGCTGTGTAATGCTGTGCCACTCTGTGTGGCGCTGTGTCAGTCAGTCTGCCTTCCTGGCTGAATCTCTAGCAACAAGCTTTTGGCCCCACGTCCTTCTCCGCACAGCACCTCCCCCCTCTCTCTCACTGCCCATGCGTGCACCCCTTGTGGTCCACAGAGCCATTCACTACAACCAGTTCACAGGGTCCATTCCCCGGACCATTTGGCTGTTTTGAGGCGTCTCAAACCCCTCTCTGCACAGCAGCACCTCCCTCTCTCACTATCCATGTGTGCACCCCTGTCCTGTTGGTTGATCCGCTCGGAAGCAGAGCCATTCAGTACAACCAGTTCACGGGATCCATTCCACGGGCCATTTGGCAGCTCCAGTCTCTCAACCACTTGTCAGTCACACCATGCACATATGCTTGCGCTGCATCCGCTGCATGTGATGTTATGGAGTTGATGGGGGTGATGGGGGTGATGGAAGTGATGGAAGTGATGGGGGTGATAGGGGTGATGTGATGTGATGTGGGTGATGTGATGTGATGGGGGTGATGTGATGTGATGGGGGTGATGGGGGTGATGTGATGAGATGGGGGTGATGGGGGTGATGTGATGTGATGGGGGTGATGTGATGAGATGGGGGTGATGGGGGTGATGTGATGTGATGGGGGTGATGGGGGTGATGTGAATGAGATGGGGGTGATGGGGGGGAGGTGATGTGATGGGGGTGATGGGGGTGATGGGGGTGATGGGGGGGTGATGGGGGTGATGTGATGTGATGGGGGTGATGGGGGTGACGTGATGTGATGGGGGTGATGCGATGTGATGTGCTGGGGGTGGTGGGGGTGATGGGGGCGATGGGGGCGATGGGGGGAGATGGGGGCGATGGGGGTGATGGGGGTGATGGGGGTGATGGGGGAAATGGGGGCGATGGGGGCGATGGGGTTGATGGGGGTGATGGGGGTGATGTGATGTGCTGGGGGTGTTGTGATGTGATGGGGGCACAGGCATACGTTGTTACACTTGCACATACATGCACAGGCACATGCGTACGCACATCCACGTACTTGCAATGCAGTGCACACGTCAAGAATGTGAGCCACACAGGCAGGCGTGTGCTGTGCACAATGCACAGTGCACGGGCGCTGCGCTCCCGGCCGCCCACCATCATTCACATGGTCGCATCCCCCTGCCCCTGTGCCCATAGCCCATTTCCTGCCCCGTCGCCTCGTGGCCATCCCTGGACTGCATCCCCTGGCTGCCTCTCCTCGTCCCCTCTGCCTCCTCCTAGATTCCCCACTACGTCCTGCTATGTCCTGCTACGTCCTGCTATGTCCTGCTACGTCCTGCTATGTCCTGCTACGTCCTGCTATGTCCTGCTATGTCCTGTTCCCTGACACACCTCTTTACTGTGGTCCCTGCAATACTGGCTTGGCTTTTCGGATGACACGGGGCATGTTGCATGGGGCATGTTGCAAGGGGCATGTTGCATGGGGCATGATGCATGCGTTGCAACGGCAGTGGTGTAGCGAGCAACATGTTGACGGGAGCCATTCCAACGACCATAGGCAGCCTCGTCAACCTCACCACCTTGTCGGTGCCACCACCACAGCCCCAGCCCAACCAAAGAGACTAGTAACATCACAGCAAAGGAACACTACCACAGCCCACCCCTGGGCCCGGCTCTTAAGATCCTCCCCTATGAATGCATTTGCGTTCAGCACACACCTGTTTGCCTTACATCTGCTGCATCCATGCCCTCACTGCACATGGCTGTATGAGGTGCCTTTTGAGTCGACTCAGAAGTTACCTTTTTCTATGAATGCATTTGTGTTCACCAGGCACCTGTTTGCCTAACATCTGCTGCGTCCATGCCCTCACTGCACGTGCCTGTATGCCTGCTTGTCTTTCGCTCACTCTGCATCCTTGCTCTCGCTTTCCCTCACATCTCATCCGCCACTCCCTGCACCTTTTTTCCACAATGCCGTGTGTGTGTGTTGACGTGCCCCACCCATCGTCTCCTCCTCCACCATGCCAACGGTGCCAATGCTGCTCGTGGTGGTGCCACTCGCTCGCTGTACATCCACCCTGCATCCACCCTGTGTGCATGCACCCTGCATGCGCTACGGGCCACGGCAGCAATGTGTCTCAGAACATGCTCACCGGCTACCTACCTGCGTCCATGATCGCCCTCACCAAGCTCGAAAACCTGTACGCACCGCGCGCCATCGTTTGTCTCTCTCTCTCTCTCTCTCTCTCTCTCTCTCTCTCTCTCTCTCTCTCTCTCTCTCTCTCTCTCTCTCTCTCTCTCGAATGGTCCTTGCATTTCTTTGGGGGGTGGTACAACGGAAGGTGCAAAACACACAAGCACAAGCTCAACAGAAAACCGGCATCCTAACTATTCCAAGTCCCCTACCTACTCTGCCCCCCCCCCCTGTCCGACCCTACTGGTCGAACGGGGCCTCAATCAACTGGTGCAGCTGTCCCTCACTGAGAGGGATGATGGGTCCTCTAAAACCGAGCTCGTCCGCCGCCAAGGCCTCATTGATCTTGGTGCGGAGGGCGTTGGCCTGTGCCCGCTGGAGGCACACGCTCCAACGCTGGCGGTACTCCGTCAGAAGCTTCGCTGCTTCGTAGGAGGTAGGGGCTGCGTTAAACCGCAGCTTTGCCGCCAGCTCCGCGCATTGCCGCAGGTAAGCCAGCACCCCCGGCGAGGGGTAGCCGTATGTTTCCACTGCGAGCGCGTGGAACCCCACCCACGTGTTCCGCCGTGCGTACTTCTCCTCCTTTTTTGCCGCTGCCGCCCTAGCTGCCCAACCAGGAGCTCGGTTGCAGTTCTCGTCCTGGTATGACATCGGGTCCGTCACGGTCACGTCGCACATCCAAACCTCCCCGGTCAGTGGATGACGGATGGTGACATCCGCCTTTAGGTTTTCAACCAGTGAGTAGACATACGTCTCCTTATGAACCGTAAAACCCGCCTCAGCCCGATATTTGCTATCTCATCCCGCAGAGCGTGATGGGTAGCGGTCCTCCCTTTCCCCTTCTCGCAGCGCATGAGGTGGTTGGGGAGGCGGTCGTCGAGGAAGGTGGTGCGGTAGCGGCAGTCACAGCGTCTAGGCACTGGGAGGGGGAGGCCTAGGCGGAAGGCAGCTGCAGTTGAGAGCTGGGAGGGGCCCATTCGGAGCGAGGGGATGAGCGGGATCGCCAGCAGCCAATCCCCCGCTCCTGGGCCTAGCACCGACTGCATCCGTTGCGCATGGCCTGAAAGGGGGTTGGGGCGCATCCGCCTTGCCTCGCGCATGGCCCTCAAGAAGCGGCGGGAGTGAACCGCCAGTGCTAGGCTCTGCTGTAGCTTCAGTCCCTTGGGGTCTGTCTTCCCGGCCTGGAGCACCTCGAGAGCCTCGGGTGGGAGAGCTGCCTCAGCCGCGGCGAGGCGTGCAGGCAGCGCGTGCGGGGAGCCGTGGGTAGGGTCCAGTAGGGGGAGGAGCGCGGCGACAGCAGGGTGTAACGACTCCTCCAGGGAGTATAGAAGGTGGGCGGCGCTGATCACTGAAGCAAGGTAAGCGTAGTTGCCTTCAACGGCGGGGTCAGTGATGCCCAGGCCTCCCAGAGTCACGGGCAGGGCCGCCTGCCGCCAAATCCTCCGCCTCTCCCGGGCACTCCTCGGTCTCATGATGTGGGCCGAGTCCAGGAAGGTGTGTAGGAGCTGCTCCCCCCAAGCTGACCATTCCGCTTCAGGGAGAGCTTCCAGGGGGGTGGTTCTGGCCAGAAAAGAGGCTCGGCGGCTGACACAGCGGGTGAGGAGGAGGAGGCTAAGCTGGGGGTCCATCTGGGCCAGCAGGGGGAGTGGGGATGCTGCTACTGCCAGTCTCTCTCTCACGGCGCCCGCGCACCCCCGGGGTGTACCAACCGGGCTGCCGAGAATCTGCAGTCCCTCATCAGAGATAGTAATTCCCGGAGGCACTGCAGAGGGGTCGATTTGAGCGGCGGACCACGCCGCGCATTTGGCCAGGTTGTGTACCAGGCCGAGGGCGGCAAGTGCGGATGTGAGGTGGTCGAAAGCTGCTGTGCAAGCCGAGGCGTCGCCGAGCAGCGTGATGTCATCGGCGTACGCCAGCAGGACCACCTGAGGGTGTGCCGCCGCCGTGGCAATGAGGCACGGGTGGATGCTTGCCGCGAACAGGAGGGGGCCGAGCGGGTCCCCTTGGCGAACTCCTCTGGCGCTCTGCAGCGGGGCTGCGCCGAAGTCGTGGTCGAGGTAGAGCGAGGAGGGAGCCCCGTAGGATAGGCGGACGAGGGGGATCAGCTTCTTCAGCGCCTCGTTTCTCAGTCCTTCGAACACCGCTCTCCTTTCGACCGCGTTAAAAGCGTTCGCGAGGTCGATCTGCAAGGCCACTGCAGCAGGGTGCACTTCCAGGTACGTGCGAGCGGTGTGGATAGCCGCTTCGATCCCCCCTGCTACTGCCACGCCGAATTGAAGGGGGGCAAGGTGAGTACGGGCGGCTGGCGCGGTCAGGAAGAGGGCGGCCTTTGCTATAATCCGGAGGAGACACTCCCCCACCGCTATTGGCCGCGTCCCTCCTTGGGGTTTCGTAAAGGCTAGCAGGCGGGAGGCCGTGAGAAGATCCCCCGCGGCTGTTGGGAGTTTCCCTGCTAGAGCTGTGTTGGAGAGGGCGAGGAGGTGGGAGAGTACTTCGGCATTCCCTAGGGCTGCGTCGCGGATATGCTCGAAAGTGGTTCCTGAGGGGCCGGCCCCGACTCCGTTGGGAAGCTTGGCGAGGAGGCGCCTGAAGTCGCGGGCTTCGATAGTGGGTGGGGAGCCAGTCAGGGAGAAGCTGGCTGGCAGGTGGATGTCTCGTCGCGAGGGCTTCCAGCACTTCAGGTGAGGCAGGTGACACAGGGGTGGCCTGGAGGGATTGGAGTGATTTTGACAGGTTACCCCGTTTTGCCAGACCTTCCGCCCGTGCCAGTATTCTAGTTGTGGCGAGTGAGTGGCGAGGCTGCGGAGGCAAGGAAATCGCCTGGACAGCTTCTTCGTATAGGTCCGCCCAGAGCCCTTGGCGAAATCGCAGGAGCCGATTCATCATCGCGCTCCAGTCAGGTTTACGGGCTGACGAGGTGCGAAGGAGTATGCGCGGGAGAAAGGTCAGTAGTTTCCATCCTGGCGCAGACTCAGGATTGGCCGCCAGGTGGAGTAACGGCGTCAACATACAGATCGCGAAGGAGTCGCGAAGGTCTTTGGGGGGGTGGCGAGCGAGAGGAGGTTGGCGACTGTCACGCAGCGGGTCGAGGTCCCAGACTGCAACCTGAGCGAATAGCTCAGAGTTTTTCGCCAGGTCGTCAGGTTTGAGCATCGGGGGGGTTGGACTCGGGGCTGCGGAGTTTTCATTGGCTGTTGCAGAGTCAATTCTTTCTTCTGGAGCGGCTCGATTTCCCCTCCTTGCTTGAATTCCCCCCGCGGTTCGATTCCGAACTGAGGTTCGGTTTGCAGGTTCACCTCTGGCCTGCTGGTTTGGGAGCTCCGCTTCCCGCAGCAGCTCCAACTCTTCCTCGTCCTCCTCGGCCTCTGCTTCTAACATCCCCTCGCTTTCAGGGTTAAAGGCAGGGTCCCCCTCTTCACTTTCCTCATTCTCCGCTTCCTCGCTAAGTGGTTCCACGTCGCCCTCCGCGCCGTTTCGCATTAGCCTTTCCACATTCCTCGCGCAGCCGCTTGCACCAGATCGGCGCCTGTTCGAACCTCGTGCTCCACCACCTCTTCGTCCTCTCTCGTTGCCTCGTCGTCCGCGGCGGCTGCCGCGTCCTACGCGGATTCCCCGCGTTGCTCGTCCCACAGCAGCTCCCTCGCGCCCTGTCTGCGGCGCCGCGGCCGTCTCGTTTTCGCTTCGTCGCCGCACTGGCGTCGGCTGCGGTAAGATCGGGGGTGATGGACCCATCCGTGAGACGGGATCCGGAGCTGGAGGGTTCCGCAGAGAGCTCGCTACCGCAGCCTGCGCCTGCCGGGCCTCGTCCGCGTCTCCCTGCGCACCCCTCCGCGAGCGAGCCCGTGCACCACTTCGAGCGGGTTCAAACGCTTCCCCATCGTCCTGCCGCGCGCCCCGCCTCGCCGGAGTATTCGTGGGCGCCTGCTCGTGTTGCGTCGAACCGCCCGGACGGTCAGCCGCGGCAGGAGCGCGGGTGCTCGCCTCTGCGGCACCCTCAACAGCCGCCCTCTCCTCGCCGCCCTTCTCCTGAGCGTCGCGAGCACTATCAGCGCGGGGAGGGGGGTAAGCGTTCTCCTGCACGTCCTCGCTCCCCTCGCCGCCCATCCCCTCGTGGTCAGGCAGGCCAGCGCTCACCGCGAGCGCGATCCCCCGCGCAACGTTCTCCTCGGCGATCTCCGGCGACGCGGGGGAGGGGGTCGCCTGGTCGTCGCTGGGATTCGGGTCGCCGCGAGCAGTCCCCCCCGCGTCCACATTCGGCTGGTTCCGGGGGACGGCGGGGCTGGCGGAAGGGTGGAGGGTGAGGCGGGAATGGCAACCAGCCTGATCCAGCCCTCGATCATGCTGCGGACACGTTCGTGGAGGTGGTGAGGCAGGCCCGGGCGAGTGGGGCGCCGACTCACGTCCATATTGAGGTGACCAACGGTCCCCCCTTCGCCGCGGACCCAGGCCAGGTCGCTCCTCTGCGTGCGCCGACGCTGCGCGAGTATCAGCCCGCGCGTGAGGGGAGGGCTCAGTTCCGCACCCCCCGTCAGGTTCCCGGCTTCTCTGCGCCGCGCTTGGCTGTTGGCCGGACTCCTGGCTGGCCGGCGGCGTTTCCGCGCGAAGCGCAGACTGCACCTCTCCCCACTCGCGCGGGGAGAGACCCCATGCTGACCATGTGCCGGGTTCTGAATCTGGCGGAGGCGTGCGAGGTGGTGGCGAACTTGCAGCTGGCGGTGTGTGGGGCCACGAGGAGCTTTCCGAGCAGTTTTGGTCCAGGGACCCGAGGATCCTGCGTGACTTTGGCAGAATCACTCGAGTCGCCGTTGGCACCCGTGTCGGACGCGCCCGCCGGGGTAGCTCCCTTAGCCCGTACTTTCCCCCGCCACGTGGGGGATCTTGTAGGGGCTGCTCAAGCCGGGACCCCCTTGGACACGCTCCAGTCGTCGGCGCATCTCCTTCTTGCGTTGTCGGCGTGCATGCGCTCGATGCTTGAGGTGGAGGGGGCGGAGCCGTACACGATGTAGGCCTCCGCCGTGTGTAGAATTGCATGCCGCGCCTCTTGCTCCTGCCCAGCTCCTTGCCTTTGTGTGTGTGTGTGCCCTATATAAGCCGATCCTCCGTTTTGTGTCTTGCCACCAGAAACGCGCGGCCGAAGGCCGCCGGCGCGAGCCGCGGAAAACTGAGAACTCACGAAATAATGAGGAGAAGAAGGCACCAAGGGCCCTTAAATAGGCTCAGAGGAAGAGGGCCGAGGGAAGAGGAAGAGGGCTGGGTGCTAAGTCCTCTCTCTCTCTCGCTCTCTCCGCCCGCGGAAAACTGAGAACTCACGAAATAATGAGGAGAAGAAGGCACCAAGGGCCCTTAAATAGGCTCAGAGGAAGAGGGCCGAGGGAAGAGGAAGAGGGCTGGGTGCTAAGTCCTCTCTCTCTCTCTCTCTCTCTCTCTCTCTCTCTCTCTCTCTCTCTCTCTCTCTCTCTCTCTCTCTCTCTCTCTCTCTCTCCCTTTCTGCCGTCGTTCTATCGGTCGTACCAGTAATCTACTCCAATGTGCACCCTACTCCTTCCACCTCACAACCCCCGCCCACACAGCCCCTCTTCCGTTTCCCTCTTTTCGTATGCAACATCTTCTCCATTTCTCAGGACCTTACTCTTCTTGCAGCTATTGCGCTTGTCACCTCTCCCTTTCTCGCCTCCTTCTCTTCTCCACCCTTCCTTCTGAGAATCAGTTCCGCCTGACACCTCTCGTTTCCCCACTCCGTTCCATCCCCCTCTGCTCATCCCCCTCTGCTCTCCCCCTTCTGCTCCCCCCCCTCTGCTCCTCCCCCTCCTGCCTCGCTCACTCTCTCCTCGCAGTGAGTACACGCCGCAGGTCCCTCCAGGGCTGGTGACGTGTCCACCGAGTGAGAAGGTGCAGTGTGGAGCGATGGAAGCCACGGGCAACAGCATCATCGTGCCGTACTGCACCAAGTGCTCCGACTTCTGCATCTTCTGCTTCCTGCAGAGTGAGTCCCTTCTGAAGCACAGCTCGTTTGTGTGCAGTATCTGGTCTCATCTCATCTTGCATCTCCCCGATCTTGCATACCTCCCATCCCCCATCTCCCACCTCCCATCCCCCATCCACCATCTCCCACCTCCCACCCCCCATCTCTCATCTCCCATCTCCCATCCCCCATCTCCCACCTCCCACCTCCCGTCTCCCATCTCCCATCTCGCATCTCCTGTCTGCACACGTCTCTTCCCCTGTCCCTTTGCGACTGTGCTCAGCTTCCCTTTCTTTCGTCAAACCCCACCTCACACCCCCCACCTCTCATCCCTCCCCAACCCTCTCTCCCCTCCCAACACCTTCCTCCCCTCGGCTGTAATGCAGATGTGGTCAAGTTCCCCCCACCAGCACCATCAGTGAGCCTTTTGAATCGACTTACAAGTCTTTCATCCCTCCCTCTCTCCCTCCCTCCCAACATCATCCTCCCCTTGACTGTGTTGCAGATGTGGTCAAGTTCCCACCACCAGCACCACCAGCCAGCCCCCCTCCAGCAATCTCCCCACCACCACCACTCCCTTCACCCCCACCACCCGCTCCCCCCATGTCACCTCCCCCCCGTTCACCAACGCCCCCTCCTCCTTCCCCTCAGCCCTCTCCACCCCCTCCTTCCCCTCCTACCTCACCTCCCTTCGTTCCATCGCCCCCTCCTCCGCCTCCACCTTCCTCCGCGGGGCTATCAGTGGGGGCCATTGCGGGGATTTCCGTGGCGGGTGTTTCCGTGCTCGCGCTGCTGCTGCTGCTGCCGCTGCTCTTCTTCCGCAGGCGGAAGGCAGGAAAGCCATTCTCGCAGATTGACAATGATGCCGCTGCTGCAGCTGCTAATGCCTCCGCTGCAGCCGCTGGTGGTGCTGGTTGCTCAGGTAAGTTTGACTGGTCAGACAAATGTCGTTTGGGTAAGAGGTTGAGACTTTCAAGACTTCTCAAGAGTGTCGATTTGAGTCAGCTCAGTGGTCGGTTCCCTAACGGTTTTGCTCCTCAGGTCAGGAATATGGCTGTTTCTCAGTCACCTCAACATTCAGTTGAGGCGGCAGGACAATTTTACTTGTGGGTGGGTGTGTTTTTGAGATCTCTCTAGGATCTGGCAAAGTACTGGTAATGTTTCAAGTGAGCTGACTCAACAGGCACCTCGCCCTTTCCGCTCTTCACCATTCATTCAGGCAGCGCGAGTGGCTCAAAGGGTCCCTCGGGGACAGCACAAGCAGCAGCGGGGCCGGCGGTGTGTCGGCAGTACCGGCTGGACGTGCTGGCAGCGGCAACGGGCATGTGGGTGGAAGCCAACAAGATCGGCAGCGGGGGGTTCGGGGACGTGTACCGTGCTGAGGACCCTGCTGACCCCTCCACGCTCTGGGCTGTGAAGCGCGCCAAAGTGCTCACCAATGACTTTCGACGCGAGGTGGGCAGGCTGGGGTTTGGGTGGAAGGGTGCCGAGGTGGGAGGGGGAGAGTGGGGTTGAAAAGGGGGATGAGGGGTGGGGACGTTGATAGAATTGAATTTGAACTGATTGAATAGCAAGAAAGTCACTAGGCCATAAGTACAAACTAGGTTGGCTTGAGCAAAGCTAGGGAAAGGATGGGATGTGAATCCTAGGCAAATCTCCAATGATGAGTTGGCAGATTTGGAGGATTACAAGGGAATCCCAACAAGATGGGGTTGGGATTACAAACTACACCCAACCTAGAAATAACTTACTCGATATAGAATATAGTACACAACATGTTGACAGCCTATTTCTAACACACCCCCTAGGGTGCAACATATCAGCCACAGGGGGGCCCAACACCCATGGACGAGAGGAGGCGATAGTGGTCCTTGCGAACAAGCGACTTGGTAAATAAGTCAACAAGGTTGCAGTCGGAGGCAATGTGGTCAGCCTTCCGCTGCTCGCGCTGCACCAGCTCACGAAAAAAGTAGTGACGGACCTCAATGTGCTTGGTGCGGTCGTGAAAACGGGGTCATTGGTGAGTTAAATGGTGCTCTCTTTGTCACACCAAACCGTTGGGGCAGGCTGAGGATACCCGATTTCTGCCAACAGGAAGGAGAGTCAACGGGCCTCCTGGGCAGCCATGGTCCCAGCGTACAGCTCTGCCTCACAGGTCGACAGTGAGACTCAGGATGATCGAGTGGAGCGCCAACTCACAACCCCGCTGCCAAGGGTAAAGCAATACCCTTGAGAAGAGCGCCGATCACTCTGAACATCAACGTATGACGAGTCACTGTACCCCTCAAGGCGAACAGGGGAAGATCCGCTAAGAGTGAGCACATAATCATGTGTGCCTTTGAGATAGCGAAGAACCCGCTTGGCGGCAAACCAGTGGTGGTGGGTGAAGCGATCAGGTGCAACGTAGCGAGACAGTACACTGATGGGGTAGGCCAAGTCTGACCGAGTGCACATCATCGCGTACATGAGGGATCCAATGAGCTCGGAGTATGGCTCGTCACAAGGCTCAGGTGAAGGAACAGAGGGTGCAATGAGCTGGTGCTACAAAGAGAGTGGGGTATGCATTGATGCGGCTTCCTGCATCTTGAACCACGTCAGGACGTTGTTGATGTAAAACTTTTGCGGGAGGGTGATGGTGCGGGCCGTGCGATCACGTGTAATTTCCATACGCGCAAAGGGCGCACGGACGGCTTTTGACCCGTCCACAGCTCAACAGGGGTGGTGTGGGTGTGGTGAGGATGAGGATGAAGATTGTGGAGGGCGGCAGCATGGAGCATGGCGTACCCCTAGAGAAAGGGAGGGGCGTAGGCGTGAATGAGGAGGCAGCGAGCAATCTGCACCAAGATGCGGTTCCGGCTCTCAGCAACACCGTTCTGTCGAGGACTGTCTGGGAGAGTGAAGGTCTGAAGGATACCCTCTGTAGAGCAAAAAGTTTTGAGAGTGTTGTTGCGGAATTCACCGCCAACGTCAGAGTGAAGAACCTTGATTGTAGTTTTGAGGTGGTTATGAGCCTGCCGGTCCCAGTTCATGATGACGGCTGGGGCTTCTGACTTGGAGGTGAGAAGGTGGACAGACACATAGTGGGAATAGTCATCAATGATGACAAGGAAAAAGAAGTGTCCGCCACGAGAACGAACAAGAGCTTGACCTCATGGGTCCATGTGCACGCGATCGAGAGGTGCAGTTGAGATGGACTCAGTGGGGGTATTGGGCTGTTCACGAAGCTTGGTCTGTGCACAGTCAAGGCAAGGCGGTCCTAGGTTGGAGGTAGGGGAGGGAAGCGTAGCTGAAAGCGCGTGGAAGTTGATGTAGCCGAGGCGGTGATGAAATAGCATAGTTTTGTCAGAAAGGAGATGGCCAGACAGGTGGAGGAGTCGGAAGAAGGGAGCGGAAGGTTGGTGAGCGAGCATGTTTGAATGGGAGGTACAACGAGTGTGCAGAGGTTGTTGGAACTTAGGGTGAAGCGGGCAAGATGGGTGTGGGTTTTGGCGTCAAATAGATCACAGTAGTCAACATCATTGGAAAATATGGTGATCACCCCTGCATGTTGGATTTCACGCTGTGTAAGGAGGTTTAAGACACATGCTAGTAACTGTGCCAGATGGAAAGGTAGGACAAGGAACTGTGGAGGACCCATGGCATTGGATGGAGAAGCTTGAATCGGCTTCAAGGAGTGGGGTGGGAGCTTGGTAGAGAACGAATGCGGTTTGGTCTTTGAGCACTGTGTGGGTGGCACCACTGTCTAGTTTGAATTCGACCCCCTGTGTGTTTGAAACACCGATATACTGGGACACCTTCTCATTAATAGTACCAGCACCAGAGAACAACAGTGAAACGAACATCAGAAGGGGCGCTAACAACTGCCTGAGCAGATTCCTCCACTTCCTTGACCTGGTTCACGCGACGGGGTGGGGCCTAGTTGGGAGGACGCTTGTCGGTGGAGACACCGTTGGCGTCACACCACTCGTCATCTCGCTTCTTGAAGCAAGTTGCCTCAGGGTGATTGGTGGTCCCGCATTTCTGCCTTGCACGTGGACATTTCCTAATGATGTAGGGGCATGGGGGAAACGAGTTGCGCCTTGGTCCTTGCTGGGATCGGAATGGGATACAAGAGGTATAGCACACAGCATTGACGGATGCTTGGGCTGCGATGTCTTCTTCAGCAGAAAGAAAGGCCGATGCGACTTTCTCGAAAGTGAGTTCCTTGGTGGGGAGCTGTTTAAGCATAGACCTGGTGACATTGTAGGCCGGGGTAAGACCTACGAGTAGCCCAGCTGCAGGTGCCTTTCGGGGAAGGTGATCCCGATGTCCTTTAGTTCTTCGTGAATGTTACGAATTTCATAAATGTAGTCCGCCATGCTCGGGCATTCCTCAAGACGGATCTGGAACATTCAAAGGATGAGGATTGCAACTCCCACTGCGGTCTTGTCATGGAAACGGTCCTGAAGGTATTTCCAAGTCTCATGAGCGGAGCGAAAGGTGCGGCAGGATTTTACAAGTTCAACCAGAGTGGTGGTGATGAAAACCCTAATAACTGCCGCATCCGCCTGCTCCCGCACACTAAAGTCGGTCTCATACTTGGTGGTCTTAGCCTCAAATGCGGTCTTGGCTGCAGTGGCTCCTTTGCCAAGAGGATCGGGAGGGAGAGGCATCTTTCCTTGGCCGCGGTTGAGGAGGATGTCCTTGAGGCAAATCCCCTTCAGTTCCGTGCTAGGGAGGTGCTTCTCCACTCCATAGCACCGTTCCCCGAAGTTGGTGCTCGTGCCGTTGGGAGCGAGATTGAGATCAATGAGATTTCCGACGAGGGTGGAAGTTAAAGTCGCCATTCGCGCGGAGCGCAGCGCTAAAGTCTCCGATACGATTTTGGAAATCAAGGAAGTTCGAAACGCGATTTTGGCAATAGAAAGCCCGGATTCTGATCTGCTACTCTGCTCCGCCGATGCCCCCTGTTCTGCTTCGCCGATGCCCCCTGTTTTGCTTCGCCGCTGCCCCTTTTCCGCTTCTCTGTTGCGCCGCTGGCCTGTTCTGCTGCGCCGCTGACCTGTTCTGCTGCGCCGCTGACCTGTTCTGCTGCGCTGCTGAAACCTGTTCTGCTGCGCCGCTGAAACCTGTTCGGCTGCGCCGCTAAAACCTGTTCAAAGTTAAGAAATTGAGAAATTTGCCACGAAGATTTTAAATTCCAGAAGCTTACGATGAAGGAAGTTGAAGGCGGAATTTGTCGCCGTTGAAAACCGAAACGCGGGATGAAGGAAGGCGAATGCGCTCTTCAGCCGCGCGACGATGTGAAGTTAGAAAACGCTAAGCATAGAAGCCAGGAGCCGATATAGGCATAGGCTAAAGGAAGAGAACCATCGTGACGCCAAGGATCGGATTCCACATGAGCGGAATTTACTAGCCCGATACCATAATACAACTGAATCTGAACTGATTGATTAGGGAGAAAAGCACTAGGCCTTAAGTACAAACAAGGATGGGTTGAGCAAAGCTAGGGAAAGGATGGAATGGGAATCCTAGGCAAATCTTCAATGGTGAGTTGGTAGATTTGCAGGATTACGAGGGAATTCCAACCAGATAGGGTTGGGATTACAAACTACACCCAACCTACAAATAACCTACTCGATATAGAATATAGTACACAAAGTGTTGACAGCCTATCTCTAACAGACGTTGCCTTCTTATCGCAATTATTGTGCTACTAGATTATCGCAATTGCAGCTTCTGTGGCATTGGTACTGTACTGGTACCTCTCGGTACCGTTCTGTCTCCACGCCTCCTTCTCCCGCTCCCGCTCCTCCCTCCTCCCTCGCCCTCCCCCTTGTCATCCGCCCTGCGTGGGAACATGCAGGTGAACGAGATGGCATCGAAGCACCACCCACACCTGGTGCGGCTGCTGGGGTTCTGCATAGACGTGAATGAGGCCACAGAGCAGACGGAGCAGATCCTCATCTACGAGTTCATGCCCAACGGCGACCTCGAGCGCTGGCTCGGCCCCGGTGTGTTACTCACTCACTTACCATGTCCTCACTTGTCCTCCTTACTTGCACACAAGCGCATGCTCGGTTTTCTCCCGTGTGATAATTTGGTGTTTTCGTGAGGCTCGCTTATTTGGGTAATGACTCCCAGCCCATTGTGTCATTTTTGTTGTGTCACATTGTGTCCCGTTCCCCCTGCTGCAGGTGCCACCCAGCCGCTCTCTCTGCTGCAGCGCTTGGATGTGATGATCGGAGTGGCGGAGGGGTTGCAGTATCTGCACAGCTTTGGCATCGTGCATCGCGACATCAAGCCTGCCAACATCCTCATTGATAGGAACATGCAGGTGAGTGAGTGTTTGCATACAGATACGGCTATGTAGAGTAGTGCCTGCCTGGGCACCTCCAGTCAGCACCTCCAGTCAGCACCTCCAGTCAGCACCTCCAGTTAGCACCTCCTCCAGTCAGCACCTCCAGTCAGCACCTCCAGTCAACACCTCTAGTCAGCACCTCCAGTCAGCACCTCCAGTCAGCACCTCCTCCAGTCAGCACCTCCAGTCACCACCTCTAGTCAGCACCTCCAGTCAGCACCTCCAGTCAGCACTTCAGGTTCATGCAGGTGCACAACGCACTCGCATGTGCTGCACGAGGCTCCTATGCAGCAAATATATCAAAAAGTGTCCGTCTCTCATTGCTTCCTCTTTGTTGGCTGCCTGTACCGTCCACGGCAGGCAAAGGTAGCCGATTTTGGGCTGGTGAGGATGGGCGAGGGCACGACCGTGGGAGCCACGCGGGTGATGGGCACACCGGGCTATGTGGACCCGGCGTATTTCAAGTCTCAGAAGGCCACTCCTATGGCTGACGTTCACAGGTATGGGCGATGCGTACAGTTAAGGGTGATGTGTGCAGGTGTGGTGTAATTTAGCAAATTTCTTCTATTCCTTAATGTTCCCATGTGCTCCCTTCTTGCATTACCTGCTGTGCTCTTCCATCCCCTCATCATATCCCGCCCTTGGTCTCTCTCCTGTCGTGCCTCCCATACCTCTCGTGCCCTCCGCCCTCATAGCTTTGGAGTGGTGATGCTCACGATCCTGACGGCACGCAAGGCCATCTACAACTCGGACGACAACCAGATCAACCTCAAGCAATGGGTCCGTGCCCTCCCGCCCTCCCCTCCCTGCTCCTGCTCCTCCTGCACATGCCCATGCTCATGACGATTTTGCTGTGGTCATGCCATGCTCATGCCATGCTCATGCCATGCTCTTGCCATGCTCATGCCATGCTCATGATGCTCATCTCGTTGCCCATGCCCATGCACTAGCATTCGCTGTTCCCCATCTCTCCGTGTACATGCATGTGCACACCCGCACCTACACCATCACACACTCATCCCCGCGCGTCCTTTATCCACCTCATCGCACAAAGTGCAATCAATCTCTTCACCGTCATCCCTCCTCCCCTTCGCCCTCCTCCCCTCCCTCCTCTCCCTCTCCGCCTCCCACCTTGCCCCCACCAGGTGGGGTGACCATTCACAGCAGCCAAATATGGGGTGACCTTCAAGGACCCGGCTCTAGACGCCCCACCAGACGTCATCCTGCACCTGGCACCCATCCCCATGCATCTTCCCCACCATCACGCCCTCGTCTCCTCTCCCTTCACCTCCCCCCTCCACCTCCCACCCCTCCCCCCACCAGGTGGCCCCATTCGTAGCAGCCAACGACGGAGTGACCTTCAAGGACCCCTCTCTGGAAGCCCCACCAGACATCATCCTGCGCCTGGCACGCCTGGCTCTCAGCTGCACCGCCATGCCCACTGTCCTGCGCCCCAACATGATCAAAGTGCTTGCTGAATTGGAGGCTCTGCGCGAGGAGGTGCGCGGTGCGACAGGGGATCAGATGGCGAGGAGGATTGACCGGGAGATTGACGACACGCACGGGCATGACTTGGAAGAAGAGGTGGCGAACGCGATTAGGATAGGGTCGAGTGGAGGTGGAGTGAGTGGGGAACGGAGTGAGTGAGTGAGTGAGGGAGGGGGGTAGGGAGGGAGTGATGAGGAGTGTTGTGGCACCGCCATGCCCACTGCCCCTGCGCCCCAACATGATCAAGGTGCTTGCTGAATTGGAGGCTCTGCACAAGGAGCTCTTTTGTGAAGAAAATTGTTGAGTTTTGCTGCCCTTTTTGCATCTTCTAATTGTGTACCGTAAATTCGTCTCCCTCCCATCCCTCCCACGCCTCCCACGCCTCCCATCCCTCGCATCCCTCCCACGCCTCCCATCCCTCCCATCCCTCCCACTCCTTCCATACCTCCCATGTTTCCCGGGCAGGGCCTTAGATTCGTTTTGGGCCACGCTTTTTCGTCATTGTTGGTCCAAAAAAAAAAACTTTCTATCAAGGTCCTTCAGAAAAAAAAAACCCTGAAAAATCAGTGTTGTCATCAGAAAAAAACCTTTCTCATCAGTGTAGGTACAATTTTGAAGACTGATTTAACCAGCCTTCAAAAAGGTTGGAGTATGTACGTTTTTGTTTGGGTTAACCTTTTGATGTGAAGGGGGGAGGGAGACAGTGGTGCAGTAACAGTGTAGGTACAAGGGGGGGCAGCAGGGGGCTGAAGGCAGTCTCGAGAGGAGGCTGCCTCACAGCTCCGCCAGCTCGCCTTGGGGCAGATGAAGTCGAAGATCTGCTGGATGCGGTGCTTCGGTGGCCTGCCGCGAGGAAGAGGGGTAAAAAAGGGGGGGGGGAATGGGGAGAGAGTAGTGGAGTAAACCCGAATCAAGACGAACCCAGTATACACGACTCACAGAGGTCGAAAGGACTCTGTCATCGCTTTATGTGGCCCAGGAGGGGAGCCCACCAAAGCCCAACATGATCCCTCCCTGCGGATGCATTCTATTTGATTTGTGGACCTTCTGGAGCAGAGCGAGGCGATGGAAGTGATCCCCCTCATGGACCACACAAAACGATGCCAGAGGTCCACTGGTGATCTCCGATTGATTCTATGGAAGGATTACATGCACGTTGGCCTGGAAGGTTATGGGCGCATTCATCCGCTACACAAAATAAGCCCTTTTATCCCAGTGGTTAGTGGCTGGGATTCTGACATGGTATCAGAACGAAGATATCGGGTTCAAATCCCGGTGTATGCACCTCGGGCATCCCAGTGCGGGGGGGGTGTCAGAGGTCCACTCGTGATCCCTGATTGATCCTAGGGATGGGTTACATGCACGTTGGCCTGGGGAGTTATGGGCGCACTCACTCGCTACACAAAACAAGCCATTTTATCCCAGTGGTTAGTGGTTGGGATTCCGACAAACGACTGTAGCTTGTCATTGTCCTCGGTGTTGGAGACTAGATGGTGGTAATTCCGTTTACTCACTCACTGCGGCTGTCCCTAGCTCGCGTCCCCTTAGCTGTTTCATTTCTCATATGACTACCCTAGAAAGTCCTAAAACCTAAGAATATCAGAACCACAGTGAAAATCCTTGACACATGGCCTTCCAACTAGTTTCTCCGACGTGGGACGTACCGCATAGTTCCGGCTAAAAGTCCCGCCGGTAAGAAGCAGGGCCTATGATGTCAGAATTATATTCTTATACCCGCCCCTGGCGCCCGCGACGGTGCCCTGAGCCACCGCGGACCTGCCACTGGCGCCCGCGGCAGTGCCCTGAGCAGCCGCGGACCCGTCCCTGGCGCCTGCGACGGTGCCCTGAGCTGTCGCGGACCCGCCCCTGGCGCCCGCGACGGTGCCCTGAGCCGTCGCGGACCCGCCCCTGGCGCCCGCGACGGTGCCCTGAGCCGCCGCGGACCCGCCCCTGGCGCCCGCGACGGTGCCCTGAGCCGCCACGGACCCGCCCCTGGCGCCCGCGACGGCGCCTCTACCTCACCCCGTGCCTGCACCCACTGGAACCGCCCCTGCCCTACAGTGCGCCCACCCTCTGTAGCCGCTCTGCAGCTTTATCCCCGCCCCTCCCCCCCCCCCCCTCCCCTCCTTCGTCTCCCTGCAGCCGTGGGGGGGAGGGTCTAGGGGTGGCGGGTGTGGGGGTGATGGGTCGTGTGTTTCCCTTCCCCTCCTCCTCCTTTCGTTCCCACTGCTGCAGCTGCCGCTGGGGGGGAGGGTGTGGGGGAGCCATGGGAGTGGCATTGGGGTGGCGGGTGTGAGACCAACCAGCCCCCATCCCTCTGAGGTGGGGGGGGGGGAGAGTAAAGGGGTGGCAGGAGTGCCTGCCCCTTTGTTGCTGTACCTGCACTGTTACCTTGCCTGCTGTTGCTGTTTTCTCTATCTATGGTATACCCCTGCAGGTTGTGTTCTGCACTTAGCTATTTTTGCATGCAGTTACAGGGGGATGTCAGAATTATATTCTTATACTTGCATGTAGTTCTAGCTGTAGTGTAGATATTAAATTTATAGGTGGTGCACCTCTTTGTTTGCTATATGTACCCTAGTGCTATAGTGAACATCCATTCTCCTCTCATCCCTTGACTCTCTCTCGTTGGCACAAACTAGCTCGACCCCCTTGGCCTAGGCTACTAAGCCAAGGCCCACTTAAACCTAACTACCTACCATTCTCATTCCTTACTATTGTGACATATGATTCACTTTTAGGCACGTTAATGCATCAGGGTCCCTCTGTGTAGAATCCCTGATCATCAGTGTCCCCCCAAAAAAAAGCCTGAAAATTCGGTGTTACCTTAAAAAAAAGTCTGATGCATCAGTGTTCCCTTTCTGTAAAGACTGATATTGAACTTCAAATAAGATAACACTAACTAGCTAGCAAGCATCAGGAACAGAGGGTTCATTTACTCATCATTATCGCTACAGTTAGTCTCTGGTTCTTCCAACTCCTCCTCATCTGCCTCGTTTCCCTTGCCATTGCCACTGCCCCTCTCTTGCTGGAGGAGCTGCTGCTACATTCAGTGTCAGTTTCGTTACAACGCAGTGTAATCAGTGTCCCTTAAAAAGAAAACCTGAAAGTTCGGAGTCATCTGGCCCCTTAAGGCTGAAAAATCAGTCCCCCAAAAAGCTGAACACTAGAAAATCAGGGTAGGTACAAAAAAATCCCTGAAAATCAGGAAGATCTGGGAAAATTTCCTGATATCATAGGGCCTGGTAAGAAGGTCCCCCGGGACTCTTGAATGGGTAAGGGGACTCTTATTGTGACAGGTTTTGTGAGGACCCCCCCTTTGCCTCTAATCATCATAAGACCCCCCCTTTTTTGTATATAGTAGTTATTACTGCTATTGTGCAACAGTTCTTACTGGATAAATTTGAATTCTGACATGTTTTTTGTGTCAGACTCGAATTCTGACACTGTACTTGTGCCAGAATTGAATTCTGACATAGATCTGACGTGTCACTCGCATGAAATTTGCGCAAATTCGGTACGAAATTAAGACCCCCCCACCCCAAATTGAGCTATATACCCTAAATAATAGATTGATAGATGATAAATAAGTGTACCCCGGGTCTTAAAAAATTCCTGCCCCCATAATGTCCACCCAAGCATTTTTTTGAGCATTTGTATAGAGTCCCCCGGGTCTTATAGCCGGAACTATACGGTAGAGAAAGGGTGCACGGGCAACCACCAAGTGTCATAATCGTCTCCGACTCCGGCTTCGCAGCGCAGAAAGTGACGACCCTCTACACCTCTGTCGAGGGCCTCAAGGCAGACATTGCCATCCGTTACTTGAACATGGGCGAGGTGTGGATCTGTAACGTCTATGTCATAGACAGGGCCCAAAATTGGTTTAGGCCTACCCTTACAAATCAGGGTTTAGGCCCCTCCTTAACCAGACCCCTAGGGTAAAAATTTTCGTACCCTGTTTGCAGCAAGGTAAATCAACCGCTAGCCTGATTTGAGCAGGGTAATTTTAGGCTAAGCCTGTTTCTGTTTTGAGAGTTAAGTTTTTTTATTGACATAAACAAGTAGCACATTCAGAGTCCATGAAGTATACACAAGCAACACATGCACAACACACCTACTCAGTGCCACCCCCACTGCCTACATCTTCTTCTACAAACTTGGTCTGCGAAGCCCTGGTGGGGTCAAACCCCTTGGTGGATCGCCTCAGCTTCTCTCCACGAAAGATGGTGACCACCTCAAACCAGTCGACCTCGTACCGCAGCAGGGAGCAACGCATCAAGTGCTCCAGGCTTGTGTCGCCAAGGCTGCCGCGTCCCCAAGTCTTGATCAAATTCTGCTTGGAGAAGCCGCGCTCGCATTCAACCGTGCTCAATGGCAGCACGGCGACTGACTACCACATCCGCATGATGTTGGGGAAGGAGACACGCCATGCATCATCCCACAGCATCTTCGTCAGCGTATGATGGAACTCTTCGTTGTTGTGCTGGGAGAACATTGTCGATGTAAACATTTACAGCTCCTGCTGGGCTCTCTTGTAGTCAAACCCTGTGGGTGGGCGGGGTTGGGGTGAAAGCTTGACCGATGCTCGCAGACACGGATAGGAATGGGGGGCATTAGTCCAACAAGCAGCAGTCAGCAATACGTGCACGGGTCATCCTCGCGGCAGACTTCAATGCGACAACACACATCAGAACATGTGCAATCGCTGCACAAGGCTTACCTGGCAGCTTGTGGTACAACTTGTGCAGCTGGCCGAGCCACTTCTTGAAAGTTTCCACGCGCTTCGTGTCGTCGGACACATACGAAGCTGTGCAAAACAGCTTCGTACCTTCCAGGATTTGCAGGTCGCGCATCCGCCACTCCAGCTCGGCGTCAATGGCGCGCACATACTTGATCGACAGCTCGACGCACGTCGTGACATCGCCATCCGTTTCATGTCCTGGTAGCGGGCGCTCGTGCAGCGTTAATTCAAACGTGATGGGATTCCCCTCCCCGTCCACGCCCTCCGCCTT